GCTGGGAGGCTGCCAGAGCAGTGGAGACATCTGTGGTTGTGATGAGGGGCCTGAGGCAGCCTGGTGCCTGGGCCCTGCTGCTGAGCAGCACTGAGGCACTAAGTGCCAGGCCTCGTGTAGGCATACTGCTCACTGCTGGCCTGGCCTGCCCAGCCCAGCCTCCAGTCTCCCCGACCTGGCTTAGAGCGGTGGACAAAGGGGCTGTGGCTCTCAGAGCTGGCTGTGGGCCCTGCATGAGGCACGCAGGCGTGTGCGTCACCCCGGAGTCCCCCCAGCAGCTGTGCTCCCCTCCTTGCGGCCTTGTCCTCGTGGGGCGCATGGACATACCCTGAGGGATAGGCCCCGGCCTCCTGGGAAGAGCACCCTCTCTGGCCACAGGTTGGCTCTGCCGAATGAGAGCTGTTCTCGTCATGGAAAATTGCATGTAACACGATGCACTGTGGCAGCCCTGGGAGGTGGCTCTTCAGTACACTCCCGGCCTCTGGCTGCCAGCATCCCCGGATGCGCGCCGGCCCCCCTCGCCCCAGCCAGCACTCGTTTAGCTCTGTCTGCCAGGCTGCCCGTGTGGGGAGCCCGGCTTGCCCAGCAGTCACTTCTGTGGCTGCCCGTGCCGGCGTTCTCTCCTCTGTGTGGCTGTGTCACGGATATGCAGACCACAGGCTGTGTCTTCTGTTAGCCAGGACGCAGGCGGGTCGTTGCCACCTCTGGCCTTTGTGAGCAGTGCTGCTCAGACCATGTTGTGTACAAGCTGGCATTTGGCACGTGCCTTCATCGGACACTTGCCCGGGCCCGGGATTGTTGGCTCAGACGCCAGGCATTTCCATGGCACCACACTGTTCCACATTTCAACGCAACCTTGCTTTACCCCATGGTATGTCCACGGAGACCGGGCCTTGTGACCTGCCCCTCAACAAGACCACCGTTGCTGGGCTTTGGCCCGGAGTGGGTGCTCTCAAGACGGGAAACTGATGATCCGCATAGGCCTCTGGTGCTGTGGGGAGCGAGGGACCAGAGGCAGCAGAGCAGGCTTCTCCTCCGGTTGGTTCCTGGGGGCCTGCGTTGGGTGGGGAGGGGCCCGGGCCAGGGCCGTCTTCTGGAGGAGGCAGGGGAGGACAGCACCGGGGCTGCTGTGCGCTTCCAGGCGTGTCTTGTAACTTCGGTTGTGATGCTGCCCTGTAAGCCACAAGGCCCCTCGGCCCCATGGGGCTGGCAGCGACAACAGGGAAGAGGCAAGAATTGTGTGTGCTGGGCGTTTGCCCGTCTGGCCCTGGGCCCTGTCTCTTCCATGGGGAGGCTCCTTAGAGGCTGTGGCTGGTGGGCTCCTGCCTCCTCAGGTTCTTCGCAGTTCCTCAGAGAGCTCAGGTGACAGGAATGGCCACCTGTGGAGAGTGTTACGTGTAGGGGCCCAGAGTCACGTTTCCACTCCACACCGGGGGCATTTGGGGTGCCCACCAGCACCACAAGAGAAGGCTGAGACCACTGGGTCCAAGCAGAGCCTAGCTGTGTTCTCCTAGGCATGGGTTTTGGGGGTCCCTGGGAAGGACTGTGGGATGCACCTGTTCCTTGCTTCGAGAACTTGGATCCAGTCCCCCTGACCCTGGACTGAGCAGCCAACGCCAGTGTCCAGCATGGCTGCCCCTCAGCTTCTGCAGAGAGGCCGCCTCCCCCTGCAGCTTCCGGCAGAACCCCCACACGGGTGAGCCTGGCTGGCCATGCCTTCAGGCTCCCCAGGAAGTGTGGGGTGACTTGAAAACGTGAGGAGGAGGCAAGGTGCTGCTCTGTGATGCAGACTTGCTCCTGTGCCCTGGAACCCCTCTGGTCCCCGGGCATCTGGAGCTGGAGTCGGGGATGTGCCTGCCCCGAATAGCAGAGGCAGAGCTGTGGCGCGTCGGTTAGCTCTGATCACACCTGTGTGTGCACACGCTTCATCAACTGGGAGTCTCGGCCCCACCCGCCGGAGGACTGCCAGGTGTCACCCTGAAACAGCCGCCCCTTAAAGCATTTGTATTTTATTTATGTCACTTACACAGAAGAGAGAAATGAGCTGAAATGTCCCATCGAGTGATTCATCCCCCAGTTGCCCGCTGCAGCCAGGGCTTTGGAAGCTGCTAGGAACCAGGAGATGGGAGCTCAGGCCAGGGCTCCCGCACCAATCGGCAGCTGGAACCTCACCGTAAACCCAGGCTTCCAGCAGGAGACCCAGCTTTCTCTGGAGCAGCTGGTGTGGCTCTGTCTGCCAGGCCGCCGTGGATGCAGACGATGCCTGTGTGGGACGTCCCGGCAGGCTCTGACCTTGACATGTGGGGCAGTGGGGTTTGCCCAGAGATGCATGCCTGCTTGGAGCAGGGTCGGGGTAGAGTAGCACCAGGAGGGCCTCCTGTGGAGAGAATGTCTTAGCCCTGGATGTGGGTGCCAGCCTTGCACCCGTACTCTGGCTGGCATGCATAGGGTCTTGCTGCTCTCACAGGTCAGCAGGGAGAGGACAGGTGGAAGGGCCAGGCTTCTGACCTGCTCTGCTGCCTCTGTGCAAAGGCCCCTGCCTGCCCCTGCCTGTTTGGTGTCTTGCTAGCTGTGACTGTGGGAGGAAGAAGTGGACTGTGATCCCCAGGGGGCTGCAGGAGACAGAAGTGGTCACAGGTCTGGGGAGCTCTGTGGCTTGCAGATGGCTGTCTCTGCTGGAGGATCTGCAGATTGAAGCTCCATGGCAGCCAGCCTCTCAAGACCTGGATTCCTAGCGCTGGCCGTGTGGAATGAGAGCAGTGTGCTCTGTGGGCCAGCACCAGCAGTGAGCGCTTCCCGGCTGCATGTGGGCCGTGGCCTAGATACCCGCCCTTGCCCTACAGCACAGGAACCAGGGCTGGAACATGCCGCCCTGTCCTGTGGGCTGGTGGGCAGCAGCCCAGCCTGGAGGGAGGTGAGCCTGCTGCAGCATGGTGCTGGAGTCGCAGGGCTGAGCCTGACGTTCTGAGCTTGAATGAGTTACCTGGGGTGTTGGGGTGCCTTCTCCTGGAGCTGTGGGTGTGTGGCGGGAGGCTGAGGGAGCGGTGTTTATGTCATTGCTGCTGCTGGGGCCTCCAGCTCGAGTGGCTCTGTGGAGCTGAGGCTGCCATGCTGCTACTGTGGGTTAAGCTGCCAGCGTCCCATATAGACACCAGTTTGAGTTCCAGCTGCTCCACCTTCTATCCAGCTCCCTGGTAATGCCTGGAAGGCAGTGGAAGATGGAGCAAGTGCTTGGGGCCCTGCACCCACGTGGGAGAGCTGGGAGAAGTTCCTGACTCGAGCTGGTTCACTCTCCAGATGATCACACTAAGCAGGGCTGTTGTCTTCCTCAGCACGTCATCTGGGAGCTGGTTCTCAGGCGTGGCAGTGGAGACTCACACCTGCCCTCGTGGGATGCTGGTGTCACAGGGAGCTTCCTAAACTGCCGTGCCACAAGGCCTCACTGTTCGTGTGACTGTGTGTGCGCTGTGTTGATAACCTGTAGATGCTTGGCACGGATAAGATGTTGTTGCCATTTTTGAGACCATGAGCCCAAGACTTGTAGTGGGAATTAGAACCCAGGAGGAAGAATTACCCAGCAAAGCTCTGCTGTCCTCCCTGCCCCACTACCAACACAGGCCAGCCCTGCTGCAGAGTTTGCCGCAGTGGGCTCCTGGTGGGCATTGGCTACAGAAGGAGGTGGCAGGTGTGTCAGCCTGATGGAATTGGCAGCAAGATAGTGTGGCTTGGACTGCAGGGGGCATGTGTGGCGCCAGGTCACACCCTCTTCCTTCCAGTGGTGGGAAGAGACCCCCCTGGAGCCCTGGGGAGGGCAGCCCGACAGTTACCTCAGGCACCACCACTCTGCTGTTGTCTGAATTCAGTGCTGCTTCTCCGGACGGGGAAGGCTGGGGAAGTAGCAGGCCCTGGTGAACCCTTGCTGGCACCCTCAGCCTGGAGAGGGGTGTCCTGTGGGTCCGCTCTGCTTTCTCCCCTCCTTTGTACAGCAGATCTCTACAGGGCACCCCTGGCCTCCATGCCCGTAGAGTCTTTTAAAGCTGCCTGTTCCGACCTCCCTGGATCGCAGCTGCAGACTGACCAGTGCTCTGAGGTTCGGCAGCAGGAGGGAGAGTGAGGCTGCAGAGCCACCTGTTCCCGTCCCAGCCCGCCCAGTGGCCGGCAGCTGAAAGAGCTCTGCCACAGCAGAGCGCCTCGCTCCAGGGAGCGCGGGCTGACCCTGTGGCTCCCCCGCTTCCCTGAAGGCACCATGGCTGCCCCCAGACCCCTGGTGAAGCCCAAGACCAACCAGAAGAGGACCAAGAAGTTCATCCGGCACCAGCCTGACTGCTACATCAAGACGAAGCAGAACTGGCAGAAGCCCCGAAGTATCGACTGCAGGGTGCGGCGCAGGTTCAAGGGGCAGATCCTGATGCCCACCATCGGCTACGGCAGCAACAAGGCCAAGCACTCGCTGCCCAGCGGCTCCCGCAGGTGCACCGCATCCAGGAGCTGGAGGCGCTGCTCATGTGCGGAGATTGCTCACAGCTGTGCTTGAGGACCCTCAAAGCCATCGCGGAAAGAGCAGCCCAGCTGGCCGTCCGAGTCACCAACACCAGCGCCAGGCTGCACAGTGAAGCAAGTGGATGGCCAGCTGGAGTGCATGCTTTATTTATGTATAAATAAAACCTTGAAAACTGAAAATAAACAAAGCTGCCCATTCCCAACTCGGGTTTCTGTTCTTCATCTCTGTATCCGGTAACTTTGCTGTCAAGAAAGAGTTGGGGTCTGCTGCGTCGGCATGGTTAGGCAGGTGCAGGGATCTGCCCTCCGCCCCAAGTAGTGCTACTTGTTCTGGCAACCTGGCTGTATGGAAACGGCCTCCCCTGGAGCTGTCTGCCGGCACTCTGGGGCCTGCAGCCCCTGGGAATCCAGGGTCTCAGCTGCCCGTCTCCCCTCAGTGAGGTCGCCTCACAGACCGTGGCCTCCTGGTGGCCTCTCTGATGGCGTTGTCTTCCCCACAGCCCACGACCCTCCCACAAGGCACCATCAACATGAACCAGTGCACAGACGTGGTGGATGGTGAGGGCCGCACTGGCCAGAAGTCTTCCCTGTGCATCTTGACGCCTGACAAGGAGCACTTCATCAGAGCTGAGACCAAGGAGACCATCAGCGGGTGAGTGCACAGCTGCCTGGGCCAGGGCAGCACTGGCGGCTTCCCAGGGCCCCCTGAATCCTCTGTGCCTCACCTCGCACGGCACAGCCACCAGGCTGCTCCTGTCTGCACTGTGCTGGCCTTGCCCCCATCCCCTGTACGCATGCGTGTTCACACACAGCGCACACAGTACAGCCAGCTGTGCCCCCGTTGCCTGGGAGCTGAGCTGCCTTGTGTTGCCATACCATTCCCTTCCCCTGTATGGAGGCCTGGGAAGCCGGGCAGGGGGAAGGAGCCAGGGTTTCAGGCAGCTGATGTCCATGGGGTGGGGCACGAAGCTTTCTCTGCTGAGCCCGTAGAAGTCTCTGTCTTCGGGAGCCCTCGGCACAACAGCTTGCTGCCCACGGCCTGGGCTGCTGGAAGAGCTGTGTGTGCTGTGTGAGAGTCCCAGGGGGTCCTCTGGCACCCATTCAGGTCAGGAATAGAAGTGGGTGGGCATTTGCTGGCAACAGCCTGAAAAACATAGCTTAGTGCCCTTGGGGTAAGCGCATGGGTGACCCCTAACGCTGCCTTGATGGAGGAGCCCCAGCCCTGGCAGCTGGGGTTGGGGCTAGGAGGGCAGACCATGGGGCGACAGCAGAGCCATCTGCTGGCAGCCACCCTAGGTAGCATTTCCACCTTTCCTTGTCTCGGTCCACAACCTGCCCTGCCCTGCCCTCCTGCTGCAGGGGCTTCTGGTACTCCATTCCTCATGCCTGCAAGGCCGAGGGCCTGCAGCCACAGTGCCTCCCAGCTAGCCCAGGCCCCAGGAGCTGAGAGCTTCTGCTCCCTGCCCCACTTAGGAAGCCCTGGAGAGGCGGGGAGTGAGCACGCTGGTTTCCAGTCCAGGTTCTTACCTCTCACAGATGCAAATACTAGGAGAAGCTTGTGTCCGGTACAAACAGGATCAGCTTATTTAGCAGTGAGGGCCAAGGAGCTTCCCGTAAACCAGAGAGGGTCGGGGTGCGGGGAAGTGGTGCCGGGGGAGGCCCAGGTGAGGTGGAGAGGTGCACCCCACAATGTCCCAGCGTGGGAGAAGAGGGAGTGAGAGCCATACTTGTGAGTCGGGGCTCTTCCCACCTCTGTCTGAGGAGAGGCTGTAGCAGCCCAGCTGCATATGCAAACCTGATGGGTCTGAACAGGCGTGCTGGTCCCGGGTGTGACAGCTGCATCCTGGGGTATCAGATCAGTCGTGAGAGGCAGCACCATGTGACAGGGTAGGAGGGTTCCACATCTCCCACATTTCAGCTGAGTGGTTACATCACCTGTGTCCCCCAGGCCTGGGCCTGAGGTTCTGCCCTCCTCAGCTCACTCTGACCCCTAAGTTGGCTTCAGTCTCCATCATCCTGTCCCTCGTGATGAGGCACTACGTTCCTCTCCTTTTAAATTTATTTTCACTGGAAAGGCAGAGAAGAGACAGAAAGGTCCTCCATCTGCTGATCTACTTCCTAAATGGCCTCAGCGGCTGGAGCTGAGCCAATTAAGCTGGGAGCCAGGAGCCTTCCCTGGATCTGCCTGTCAGCTCTGCCACACCCCTGCCCTGCAGAGTTGGGGAGCCTGGTGCCTGTCACCTGGCCCCTCCCCCTTGGTAACACATCCGGGTGGCATCAAGCACTTCCTGCTGGCCTCCCATGAGAACCCAGGTGTCAAGGACACAAGCCATCAGCTCTTCCCACACAGCGTCTCTAGAGGCCCCGGCGGGCTCTGCTGTGGCCAGCCCTCTCCTCTTCCTCAGGCCTCCTGGTGTGGCCAGATGATGGTGCAGGGCAAGCACAGCGGTGCCGGACGGGGGGATGCCTGCAGAAATGGCAGCTTTGCTGCAGGCTGGAAGGCGGGCCTTTTGAATGACCTCCCTCTGACAGGCTCCTGTGCTGGGCTCCCCTGGAACCCCTGCTCCTGGCCAGCGTTGCTGAGAGCAGGGAGCAGGAGCCGGCACAGGGCCCTGGAGCCCACCCGCCCACTGCCTTTGTGGAGGCAGCCCCACCTTCCTCTTTCTGGGGCCTAAGAGAAGCTCCCTGCAGGACCTGGGGTCCACATGTGGCCTGGCTGTGGGTTTCTTCTCTCAGCAAGCTGAGTGTTCACAGCCATCAGCAGCAGCCCCTGAACCCATGAGCCTCTCCCCTCCGAAAGCAGTCCGCGATGCAAGGCCTGCTTCTTCCACCCATCAGAGCAGCCAGCCTCCAGGGCCTGGAGCTCGGGGGAGGATCTGGAGCAGCATGCCCAGTGCCTGCCTCAGGCCTCCCTCCCTCCTGGGGAGATGACAGGGCTGCCTGGCCACACGGTCTCCCTCACCCTGCGCCTTCCCAGGACTGCTGCAAAGCCCCAGTGAGGAAGCCCTGTTGTGTCCCCTTGTCCTTCTGAACACCCCGCCCAGAGGAAGGGGCAGTGGCTGAATGATGGCCTGATCTTGGCCTGGTCTCAGACTTGTGGGGACTAATGAGGCTGGCAGGGCAGCCTCCTGCCTATAGCCCCTCACCCTGTGATGCTGGCCTAGAGGGAGCCTGCCAGCACCTGTACCCTGGGAGGGTTCCCTGAGCAGCTCGCCCCACAGAGTGACCCACCACAGGAAACTGCATCCTCTGCTCCTGCCTTCTGCCTTCCTGCTCTCCTGTCTCAGCTCCTCTCTCTGGACCACCAGAGATTGCCCTGGAGGGGCCATTTCGGAGGCACAGGAGGCCCTGGGTAACTGCTGTGTCCCATGTGCCATGGACTGTAGTCAGGCCTGCCCCCTGCCAGCCTGGGGGTCACATCCTAGGCCTGTGCTTGCTGGAGTCTGCCTGCCAGGCTCCCGTCGGGCACTGCCTTGCTCTGCCTGAGGCCCGGGCAGGGGTTGCGGTCCTGAGAGCCTGGGACTCACCTGGCGTGGTGGCTCCTCTCCCCAGGTGGCTGGAGATACTCATGGTCTATCCTAGGACCAACAAGCAGAACCAGAAGAAGAAGCGCAAGGTGGAGCCACCCACACCACAGGTAGGCCCTGGGCTTCCCCGAGAGAGAGGACCAGGAAGAGAGCTGAGAGTGGGGAAAGCATTAGGGCAGGTGTGCCGCAGGGTTGCCTCGGGGAGGAGCTTACCAGGGGACAGCCTGCTGTGTGCACTGCTTCTACAGCTGCAGCCTGGAAGAGGAGTTGGCCCTGTAGGCAGTGGGAGGGAATCTGGAGGGTCCAGGCCCTCTGCCAGGTGACCAGGCTAGGTGGGTGTTACCCAAGCCCTCTCTTTCTCCTTCAGTGCCCGCTGCAGGCTTGCAGGGGCACAGGGCCCTCAAGGCTTCTGTGCCTCCTGCAGCGGCTCCCACACTTTGTGAGCCTTAGCCAGCTGCCACAGTCGGCCATGAGTCGCTGATCCTGTCTGAACTCTGTGCCAGAGGTTAGCCTAACCGAAAACAAGTGGGATTGAGGTGGAGGGCCTGTGGGGCCCTGCCGGGCTTCAAGGCCGAGGAGTGAGCCCTGCCCGGGTCCCCTTGCCCACACAGCCCTCCTTCCCTTGCACTGCGTACAGCCGCTCCCTCAGCTGGTGGGCATTGTCACCTGTCCCGGGCTGTTGCTCTCCTAGCAGTCCCCACGCACAGCAGCACCCTCGGGAGAGAGATGTACACTGCCCACCTTCAGAGTCGTTCCTGGGTGCTGCTGAATGGCGGTTACCCAGATTCCCAGAGCTGCCTGGTTTGAGAGGAAAGAACCCCAGGCAGAGAAACAGTTTAAGGTTAGGCCACACTCCCATGGTGCTGCCTCGGGAGCTCCAGTGTATGCAGGGCTGGCCAGCTCGATGTGTGGCCTGCCTCAACCTTCGCCCCTGGCACAAAGGCAGCTGCATATATGAGCCTCATCCTGGGGTTGGGGGATCACGAGCCCTCCCTGAGGGTCTGGGTGGCCTTGCTCCCAGACCTCTGCAGAGGAGAGATGGGTTCAGGGCTGGGCTGTGGTCTATAGAGCAGCCTTCCCTGAGCTGAGCTCAGGCCTGAGGGCCCTGAGGCTGTAGCTGGACAGCTCCACATGGAGCCCACTTGGACCCAGTAGCCTCGGCCTTACTTCCTGGGATTGCTGCTCCAGGAGGGGCCACAGATCGGGCTGTCGGGACAGCTGAAGACAGAGGTTTCAGCCTAAAGGCTGGCTCATCTCTCACTGCGGCCTGCTGGGAAGGCAGGAGGTGCGGGATTCCAGAGCCAGGCTGCTGGCCCCGGGGCTCTGTGCGCACCCGCTTCCTCTATGGCCCTGCCTGCTACCACGCAGTAATGGTGAGCCTGACCGACTTGCTCTCTCCCCTGCCTTGGAGCCCCTCCCGAGAGGTTCTGCCAGCAGCAGGGTCTTTGTGACCTCGGTGGCCACCCAGGGACAGCGCAGAGCCCAGAGGCTGTCACCTCTCTCCCAGCCCTGGCTAGTGCCTGCAGGGTGTGGGCAATGCAGGGGCCCGATGGTAGGCCTGACTAACGACTCGTCAGCCCCCAGCACTCACCCACATGGCTCCCCTGGATGATGGTGTGGCTTTGGCCCGCTGCACCCAACAGAGAAGCAGACAGGAACAGGCCGCCAGAGACTGGAGAAGGCCCAGCCCTAACCTGGCACAGCCCACAGCCTCAGGCTTCGGGAAGGGATGTGTGGGGAGGTGGGGGCTCAGGCGTGCTGGCCAGGGATCTGCCCCTCTGGCTGTCCTAGTCCTCTGCATGCACAGTGTGTGTGGGGGTCCTAGCTCCCTGGCCAGCCCCCCTGGCCAGCTGGACCTGTCTTTGGCCACCTGTATTTTGAGTGGAAGGTCTAACCCAGGGAAGGGGCAGGGCAGAGGGCCCTGGGGGCACTGCTGCTCTGGGTAAGCCTTCCTGCAGGGCAGTGGTGCTGGCTGCAGGGATGGTGGCGGGGGTAGGGGCGGGACTGGGGTCCCTGGGTTTTGGAAGCCTCGAGAAACCATCAGAAGTGCTTGGTGTTTGCTTCTGCGGGGCCAGCTCTGGACAGAGGCCCACTGGGCGTCTGTGTGTGGCAGTTGCCCTGGGCCTGTGGGGCGGATCTTCTGGATTTCTTGAACTGCGAGCTCTGCAAACCTGTTGGTGATGGCTTTAGGCCAAGCACTTCACTTGAAGCCTTCCTTTCCCTTGGGGCTCTGTTCTGGTGGAACTGCTGCCCCCTGTTGGCCAGGTGAAGTTGGATGGTACAGTGCACATGAACTCATATGCCAGGTTAACAACCTGAACCCCTCACCAGGGATTTGTGTCCAGGCATGCGCCACGGTGGGCGTTGTGTGTCTCCCCACTCTGTTCTAGTAGGAGCGCTGTGTTATGCCTTGCAAGGGAGGGGCCCAGCTCCATGTCCGCCCAAGCTCTTCTGTTGGGGAGTCGAGTGTCGGTTCTTCATGGTCCAGAACTGGGCTTGCTGTGCCTGCCCCTGCTGCCACCCAGGGAAAGGCGAGAATTGATCCCGGTCCTCCTGCACCCAGTGTGCCACTGGGTGAGAGTGAGCGAGGGCACCTGGCATGTGTGCACGAATTCTTCAGCACCAAGTATTTGTAGGCTGCTATAACAACACCTCGGTGAGACGTCTCTGAAACAGTGGAGACCCATCAGGCCTGAGGCCTGAGAAGTCCAGGCCCAAGGCCCCAGCAGGCACAGTGTCCGCTGAAGCCTTTCCTGCCAGCTTGCTCTCTGAGTACCGATCCCAGCCTTGAGCACTCGGGTTGGCAGACACGGATTCTTTCCTGCACTCTGGGTCTGTGTGCTGCGTTTAGCTTCTGATGACCAAGTGGAGGGTGGCTGGAGGCACGGGGCTGGCTGGGCTCAGGTATGCTCTGTGTGAGGCAGCCCCGGCTTGCCACTCTGGGTGCTGTCACTTGAGGAAGATGTGGGCAGCCTGCATGCATTTGATGCGGGCCGTTCCCTGGGCCAGGCGCTGCAGTTGAGGATGAGGCTTCCTTTCCTCTCTGAGCTTTCTAAGGATCCCGGCCTCTGGCCCATGTGGTGGACCTGCGCGTCCTTGTCATACTCTTCCCCAGGAACCAGGACCTGCCAAAGTGGCTGTGACCAGCAGCAGCAGCAGCAGCATCCCAAGTGCAGAGAAGGTCCCCCCCACCAAGTCCACACTCTGGCAGGAAGAAATGAGGGCCCAGGACCAGCCGGACGGGAGCAGCCTGAGTCCAGCTCAGAGTCCCAGCCAGAGCCAGCCTCCCGTGGCCAGCTCCCTCCGAGAGCCAGGGCTGGAAAGCCGAGAAGGTGAGCAGCATATGCTGGATGGGTCTAGGCAAGGGGCCCTGTCAGGCCCCCACAGCCCCGGCCTCTGGTCGTGGACTGTAAAACAGGAAGGCGGTGCTTTCATGACCCACCCCAGGCATCGTGGTCACTGTGGGAGCAGGCCTCTGCTACTCACATCAGGCCTGCATGTGTAGCTGTACTAAGCCCCATGCGCATGGCTGGCATCGCCCGTGTTCTGCAAGTACCAGAGGCTGTCCTCTTTGCCCCCGTGATGTCACTGCCCTGGCTGGAGTCAGGTGGAAGCTACTGGCATCACTCCACGCCCCACCCCTGCCCCCCGCTGTGAGGCTGCCTGATGGGATGACTGTTCCCCTCTGCCTCCGTCGCCCAGACCCCGGAGGATGTTGTTTCCTTCACGTGGCAGACACATGGAGATCAGGGCCATGCAGGTGGTCCCAGCTTTGCTGCAGCTCCTTGGGAGCCCCGGGCAGAGGTGTCGCCATCTTCCTTAGGTGGCCTACGCCCGTCTGTACCACAAACACAAGTCTCGTTTCTGCCAGTCCTGCGTTCTGACCTCCCCCTAATGTTCAGGGAGAACAGAGGGCCACTTGGCCCTTGGCTGTCTGGTTGGTATCTGTTGGAAGCCCCTGTCAGTGTCCTGGTCAGGACGGCTTTTGCTCTCCTGGCCACACGGCAGACCAGGCTGCAAGGAGAGATGGGCCACGAGAAATGGACGTCAGAACATTTCATTCCCGTTCTGTGCTCTGACTTGGCGTGCACATCACATGTTAGCCTCGCAAGATAGAGAGGTTGTCTCTGCTTGAATGCCGTGTGGGATTCTGTTTGTTTAATTTGAAAGAGTGACAGAGCGGGTAGTTCACTGGTTCACTCCTTAAGTGCCCACAACATCAGCGACTGGACCAGCAGCTCCAGCCAGATCTCCCATGTGTTGGCAGGGGCCCACGCCACCGTCTTCCCAAGCACATGAGTAGGGAGGTGATTCGGAAGCAGAGGTCTGAGTCGGTCCCAGCACTGTGATGTGGGTGTGGGTGTCTCAAGCAGCCACATGGCCCCTCAGCCCCAGGTCCCAGGCATGGGCTTTCCAACAGCCGCAGGGTGTCCAGGCTGCCATGGGCTGACTCCCTCCTCACTTGCTCCCTTACAGAGGAGAGCACCATGAGCAGCGACCGCATGGACTGTGGCCGCAAGGTCCGTGTAGAGAGTGGCTACTTCTCCCTGGAGAAGACCAAGCAAGACCTGAAGGCTGAGGAGCAGCAGCTCCCCCCACCGCTCTCCCCTCCCAGCCCCAGCACCCCCAACAACAGGTACAGTGGCCCTGAGTCACCCTCCCAGGAGCTCTGCCATCCCCTTGACCCACCAGGTCTTGTAGCAGCCGGCCGCATGGTCTACAGCACCTCCCTTGGCTCCCTGGCCGTGGCCGGTCGGCCTTCCACCCACACGGACTCTGGCTGCGCTGGGAGGCAGGGGCCTGAGAAGCCGGGGAGCGCCTTTGCCTTTAAAGCCAGCAGGCAGTATGCCGCCCTGGCCGACGTCCCCAAGGCCATCCGCATCAGCCACCGAGAAGCTTTCCAGGTAGAGAGAAGGCGGCTGGAGCGGAGGACTCGGGCCCGGAGCCCTGGCAGGGAAGAGGTGGCACGTCTCTTTGGCAATGAACGGAGGTAAGGAGGGCATGGGGTGCTGAGCGTGCGCGCGTGCACACACACACACACAAACCTGGGCCGTCCTAGTGCGTATCCCCTCTAAGGCTGATACACGCGCACACACACACACCTGGGCTGTCCTTGTGCGTATCCCCTCTAAGGCTCACACACACACACAAAAACACACACACACACACACAAACACACACACACACACGGGCTGTCCTTGTGCCTATCCCCTCTAAGGCTCACACACACACACACACACACGGGCTATACTAGTGTATATCCCCTCTAAGGCTCACACACACACACACATACACAGACACACACATGGGCTGTCCTAATGTGTATCCCCTCTAAGGCTGATACACGCGCGCGCACACACACACACACACGGGCTGTCCTTGTGTGTATCCCCTTTAAGGCTCACACACACACACACAAACCTGGGCCGTCCTAGTGCGTACCCCCTCTAAGGCTCACACACACACACACACACACGCTGTACTAGTGTGTATCCCCTCTAAGGCTCACACACACACACACACACACACACACACACACACACGGGCTGTACTAGTGTGTATCCCCTCTAAGGCTGATACACGCGCGCGCACACACACACACACACGGGCTGTCCTTGTGTGTATCCCCTTTAAGGCTCACACACACACACACACACAAACCTGGGCCGTCCTAGTGCGTACCCCCTCTAAGGCTCACACACACACACACACACACACACACACACACACACACGCTGTACTAGTGTGTATCCCCTCTAAGGCTCACACACACACACACACACACACACGGGCTGTACTAGTGTGTATCCCCTCTAAGGCTGATACACGCACACACACACGCACACACACACACACACACACACGGGCTGTCCTTGTGTGTATCCCCTCTAAGGCACACACACTGCCCTGCCATGGGTGCATACTGGCTCTTTACAGACATGTAATAATAGTGCGCACATGCACACAGTACACTTACATATTCTCACACGCACGGCTCCCACAGGGAACACACCTCCTTTGGACCTGGGTCCGTCCCTCTGGAGAATTTAGCTCCTGGCAGCCAAGTGCAAGGTTTCTGAGCCAGAGCCCTGCAGCTTCCTGTCTCTGCTTCCCAGAATCGGACGTTTTAGCCCCTGCTGGGCTCTCAGCTGTCTGGGCCACGTGGGGTTAGGTGGATTGTGGGTGGGAGGGAACGGGTGTAGGGGGCATGCAGGGACAGTGTGCAGAAAGGTGGGGCAGGCACCATTCTCTGAGGACCTACCTCCCCAGAATCACAGGGAAGCCCGAGGCAGACAGTGACACCAGGTGTGTCCTGGAGGTGTGGCCCAGATGAGGTGACGGAGAGCCCATGTTTCAGGGAGGATGGGTCTGGACTGCCCAGCAGAGCTTGCTCCCATCCGAGAAGAGGCACGCTGCTCGCCAGCCCTGCCCTTGCTCTGCTGCCCTAAGCTGCCTGGAGCCAGGGCGGGCTCAGCTGTGAGGCTCATGAGCCACACCAGGATGGGGAGCCCCGCCTGCCCCTGCATGCGGGAGCTTTGCCTCAGCCACAGCTCCTGACACTCAGCTCATGTTGAGGCTTCCCCAAGCAGTTGTGTAAGAGGAGGGTCAGAACCGGGTTGTGTAAGTTTCTAGAGTGGGCAGTGGGCTCTGTCCCTTGAAGCGCAGATCACAGGAGATGCTGTTGTCTCCTGCTCGCTTTCTGGCTCTTGGCGGATGTCCTGGATGGGAGGGGCCCATTCTGGACTAGGGACAAGGTGTTGGAGCAAGGAGAGCAGTGGGCTTCTCAGAGGGAGGCCATGGAAGCCGAGGGAGTGCTGAACAGCGTCTGCGTTCCTTGGCGGCTGGGCTCCCTCAGTGTGACCCGGGGCTGGGGCCAGGCTGCCCCTAGCAGCAGCTGAGGCAGTGTGGAGGCCGGTGGGGGTACAGGGGCTTCATGCTGCGCCAGGGGCAGTACCCGACCACAGAATGGATGTGAGCATACCTGCTTGGTCTTGCTGCCACTCGGGGAAGTCAGGCTCCCAGCCAGGGCCCACTGCTGCCTGTGGGGCTTGGCCTGTGCATGCTCTTGGTCCCTGGGGTACCCGCTCTGCTGCTGATTCTGGAATGGCGCTTTCTCTCTGGCCTGCTGATGTCTGACTGGCTGCCGCTGCCCAGGGGCCCCGCTTTCTGATCCCGAGCCACCGGAGCAGAAGCTGCACAGCAGCCCGAGAGGGTGCACAGCTGCCTGGATGGCGGCACAGGGTCCTGCAGGAGGGTTCCTAGTAGCCATACCCCTGTGAGCAATCCCTTCCCAGCCCGTTGAGCCCTGGCTTCTTAGATGCTCACTGCCCTCTCCAAGCGTGCCAGGTGGGGAAGCCAGGGTCCACACTGGACTGCAGGTGACAGTCAGGCAGGTCCCCTGTGGTCCCGCCCCCTCACCTCCTCTTAGTGCCCAGCCAAGGGGGCATTTGTTGTCACTCCTGTGGTGACCATGGCACTGTGGCAGGTAGCTAGCCTTCCATTCGGACCCCATGCACCACTTGCTGCTTCCTGAGGACTTTATATGCCCCAGGGTCAGGCAAAGGTGCCCTCAGGCCAGAGCAACCAGACACAGGCCCATCAGTGGAGCCAGGGTCTTTTTTTTTTTGTAATTGGAAAGTCAGGTATACAGAGAGGAGGACAAAGAAGAAGATCCTCTGTCTGATTATTCATTCTCCAAGCGGCCGCAACAGCTGGAACTGAGCTGGTCCAAAGCCAGAGGCTTCTTCTGGGTCTCCCACATGGGTGCAGGGTCCCAGGGCTTTGGGCTGCCCTCGACTGCTTTCCCAGGCCACAGACAGGGAGTTGGATGGGAAGCAGGGCCGCCAGCATTAGAATCTGCGCCCAAATGGGATCCCAGGGTGTGCAAAGCGAGGACTTTAGGCCCTGGAACCAGGGACTTGTTCAGATCCCTCTGTCCCAGCTGTAGTCACCGGCTTCCCTTCTTTGCCTGGTGATGTGGCAGCTTCCTCAGCTTCTCGCTCTCACCCTGCCCTGCCCCCTACCTTCACTGCTGAGTCGGGCAGGCTTGCGTGGCACAAGCTCCCTCCTTGCAGCTGTGCGTGGAGCCAGGGAGGTGCAGCAGAGAGCCCACGGGCCCGCTCCCGAGGCGGCTCTCCTACTAGCTGTCCACTGCAGAGGGCTGCCGCTTGGGAAGGCACGGCTGTCTCCTCCTTCCCCGCAGCATCGGGTTCTGGTCTTTTGAGGGTGAAGCCCTTCACTCCCTGTCCCCAGCCCTGGCCACCCACCCAGGTGTCCCCAGGAAGGCTGACCCTAGGCCTGGTGAGGAGGGCTCGGCGGGCACCTCAGTGTGTGTCCCCGTGTCCTGTGGATGATTTGGATGGGAAGTTGTCTGGCCCTTTCCCGTGACTCACTCTCCAGCCTTGTTCTCTTCCAGGTCTTGCCCTCTGCGCCCTCTGCTGTGCCTCCTCCGCCCGCTTCGCTCCCATCTCAGCTCCGGCACTTCATCACCTGACGAGGCCGCCAGCCTTGCCCACGAAATCAACCTGCTTGTTTTTGTTTTGATTTGGAGTTTGATTCCTTTTACCTGTTGGCGGAAGCAATGTTAATTCATGGGCTTCTTTCTTGCTGCATTTTGGGCGCCCAGGGTGGGGGCTGCACCTGATCCAGGGGGCGCAGGGAGCTCGGGGGCCCTCTGAGGTGGTGGGTTCCTTTCGATCATGCCTGTGCCTCTGGAGAGGCTGCTGGGTGCCGAGCAGTGTGCGTGCCAAGGGAGCCCACACCACAGAGCCCATGGGGTCCACGCCTGTGGGGGCACAGGGGACATGCCACAGGACACTTGGCATCCCCCAAGGTGGCCTCGGGGGGACTGAGCCACCTCGGGGCCTGGGAAGGACCTCTCCCGCCACAGCAGCCATGCATCCTGTCTTGCAGGAGGTCCCAAGTCATTGAGAAGTTTGAGGCCTTGGACATTGAGAAGGCAGAGCACATGGAGACCAATGCCTCAGCTGTGACCCCACCGTCGAGTGACACGCGACAAGGTCGCAGCGAGAAGAGGGCATTCCCTAGGAGGCGGGTGAGCACCGAGGCCCAGGGAGGGCCAGCCCTGCCTCCTGGCAACGTGGTGCACCCTGGCCCTCACACTGGAGACACGCATGGGCCAGCCAGGCTTCACTCTCTGAGCCTCCTCTCTCCAGGAACTTCTTGAGGGCAGAGCCGTCTTGCGTATCTCTGTCCTGAAACTTCATCCATCTTCTGGAGAGATACTCTTGCAATCTTAGACGCCAGCTTGACCCTGCAACCTATCCGTGGCAGCCCAGCAGCAAGGCTACCCATGCCACCTGCCTTCCTCTTTCTTTGCAGTGGCAGCTGCACCCCTCTTTCTCCACTCCCTGGGCCTCCTGCAGTCCTCTCGTCTCCAGGCCACCCAGTCTGAGTCCGTCTTCCTTCCTGGCTTCTCTCTTGCTCATGAGGTGTCCAGTAGTACCTGCTGTGCCACTCGCTGCCACAGAGCTGTGACCCCATGCAGGCAAAGTGCCGTTCTGATGGCCAGGGTGCTTGAGGACCTGAATCATGTCTTGCCCTGTTGCAGACTGCCCTGAGAGCCTGGGCAGCGCTTCCCCCGTCCAGGAGCAAGGCCCTTCTGCTCTGGGCGGGTGGATGGCCCTGGCTTGCCGGCCCATGCTCCGCCCGCATTGTTCTGGGCCTCTCTGACCGGCGGCTGCTCTCTGCCACAGGACCTCACCAGCGAAGCCCCCACAGCTCCGCTCTCAGACGCCACGACCTCCCCCCTGTCTCCACACCGACGAGCCAAGTCACTGGACAGGCGGTCCACGGAGTCCCCCATGACGGTGAGCCGGGAGCCACCTTCTCTGCACACCTCCGTAGGCTGGCCAGCCTGTAATTCACGGCCCTCGTGTCTGTGGGGAGCCTACCCACGAACCTACGGACATCAGCTTCCTGCTCTTGTGGGCCTGGCCGAGCCCTGGGTGTCCTGTAAGGAGGTTCCCTAGAGTGAGGGTCTCGCTCTCCCTCTCCTTTTGTTTTAGGTGCTTGTCTTGGTGGGCCTTTAGCAGCAGGGACTGTGCCTTGCCAGGAGCTTGTCCTGTTCTCAGCCATGCTGTGTGGGAGAGCAGCCTTTCCCAGGTCCCCCGCCTGGCCCAGTGGCCTGCGCACAGCGGCGCAGTCGTTGCCTCTCCAGGCAGACTCCTGGGACTGGGGCAGCCTCTGCCCCTTACCTCAGACACAGCTCAGTTGGGGCTGCTCAGAGAAACCCCAGGCCTCTCTCCATCAAGTTGCTTTCAAGGGCGTGGCCCCGGGTACAGACCCAGGGCCTTCTACTACTTCCAGTGAGGCAGGGTGGCCAGAGGGGACCCCTGGCATAAGGACCATCTCAGGTGGGGTCCTCAATGCTCGGGTTCCTTGCCTTCTGGCAGGTGGGGCCGGGCTTGCTCCTGCTCTCATTACCCCAGGCCCAGCCTGCACAGCCCCCACAGAGACTTCCCTGCCAAGCTGCGTCCTGGCTGCAGTCACGTGTCACCCATTCACTCTGATTCCCTTCTGGTCCCAGGCGTCTGCACACCAGTTCTGGATCAGGATGGGCAAGCGGGAGTGCGGAGGGGCGGGGGAAGGCTAGCCTGCCTTCTGGGCTGCTCCTTGCCGTGTGGGTCACCTCGTGGGAACGGTACCTTCATTTCCTTCCTGTCTGCTGCCCTGCCTCTCGCAGGAGTGGTGGCTGTCTTGTCCATGACCTCAGTGGCCTGTGGTCCAGGCCAGGCTGCTGTTTCCTCACCCAGATGCAGCGTCTGCTGGCGTCTGTTTTCGGTCTTCCTGGGCTCCCGTAGGACTCTCAGGGTGCTCCTTACCGCTGCTCCCATGCTGCCTTCACTTCAGGGCTCAGAGATTCCATCTCTGGGCTGTCTGCCTCCACACAGGCCACACAGGGGGCTCTCGGGGTATCCCTGGCTGCTGAACGCTGTGGCTGTCTCCTTCCCCCAAGACGTGTGTGTCTGAGGGCAGCACCCACGGGGACTGGGGGCCATGTCTCTTCCTGGTCCCCGTCTCGCCTGCACAGAACCTGGGCCCTGTCGGGCACGCCCGTGCCTGTGCCCCAGGCACCCCAGCCCTTCACTGAGATGTTCTTTCTCTCTCCCTTTCTCAGCCCGACCTGCTGAACTTCAAGAAAGGTTGGCTGACCAAGCAGTATGAGGAGGGCCAGGTGAGTATGCTGGCCCTGGCTCCCAGCAGCCATCTGTGGCACCACTGCTGAGAGGTACTTCTGAGTGGCCCCTCCAGGCCTGCTGGTGCCCACACACGGGGACATCTTCCAACGTGATCCTCTGCTGGAGGTCCTCCCCAAAGGTCCCTAGGGGCCCAGTCCCCCAGTCCCCATGACCAGGGAAGGACTCTGCTTCTGGCCTGAGGCCACCAAGAGACTAGTTCTGCCAGGATGCCATCGCTGGACCCCGAGAGGAGCAAGGCTTACGTTCTTGCCCTAACTTGGGCAGAAGGAGCAGGTTGTGGCCAAACTGTGGGCTACGGGTGTGCACGAAGTCCCTTCCGCCCCACCCTCAGGCTCCTCTGTTACTTCCCAAGCCACTGTGCCACAAGGTCCCATGTATCTGCTCCGTATCCAATGCCCTTGGCCTTGCCTGAAGACTCAAGGGTCCCTCCTTGCTACCCCGTGAAGACTTGGGACTCTGGTGGGTTAGTTTGTTCCTGCTTCCTGCAGGGGCACGCGCCCATCTGCTTGGCCACCAAAGTGGCCGTGACTTGTCACCACCACCTGCAGAGGGAGTTGCCACTTTCACAGCCACCTGTGTGTTGTGATGGGTCCAGCCCACTGCCTGCAGCCTGCAAGGCTCTGCTGGAGGCTGCAGGGCACTGGTCACACTCCCTGTGGGCACACAGCCCTGCTGGGTTAGCCCACTCTTCGTGCTGGCTGATCGTGGGAGGAGCTGCTTAGCAAGCCCCCGAGGTTGTGCGTGCTTGGCTGCCTGTGTCCTGGGCCGAGCCCTGTGTGTGCCGTCTGCCCTCTGCTTGCCATGTGCTCAGCGGGGCCCAGGCCTGCGGCGCAGGCAGCTTGGTGGGCTTGAACCTGGCTCCCGTTTCCCTTTCAGTGGAAGAAGCACTGGTTTGTCCTCGCCGACCAAAGCCTGAGATACTACAGGGATTCCGTGGCTGAGGAGGTGAGTGGGCAGCCTTGCCAGGCGTCAGGCCTCCTGCTGCACTTGTGCCCCCGTCTGTGCTGCTCTGCTGCTGTGGGGACGGCGGGTGCTGACTTCCCCAAGGCCACACGTTAGCCTCTGAAGGTGGTAGTTTCCAGCAGCTGCTGTTTCGCTTGTTCTCTGAAACCGATGGAAACTTGAGCTTCGGAGAAGCAGTTGTTTTTCTGTAGAGATGAAGTGAACCGGCGTGTCAGGAGAGTGGAACCTAAGTTTGCCCTGTGCCCTGGCCAAGTCCTGGAGAACCAGGGGGTTGTGGCCACTGGAGGGCGCTGATGCTGTAATCAGATACCAGCCAGAGGGGCTGCTTCTCCCCGCCTCCACCCAGTCAGCTTGCAGAAATATTGGACAACTCTGTAATTACCTTCTTCCCGGAAATCTTCCTCTGGAACCCTTCCTATACACTTGGGTACAAGCTGCCTTCAGCTAGTCACCCCACGAATTTGTCATTACGGGGAGGGGGAGCAGTTCAGCAGCCATTCTTGGGTGGTATGCATGTGTACACACACACATACACACACCACACACAGGGTGGACGTGTGCCCAGTGTACACACCCCACACACAGGGCACAATCCAGTTACATGCATTGTACACGCAGGGTGGACACACTTCACTTGGGCACACAGTGGACACATGGACAGGATGCATGCTGTGACCGCAAAGTGGGCACAATGCTCAGTGACCAAGGGGCATGAGCATCACATGCCTGGACAGGGTGGGGAGGTTGCCCATGGACTGAGACAGGCACAGCGGTATGTGGAGGAAAAGCATGTGTGTTTGGTTGTGTGTGCAGGGCATCTGGGTAGACCCTTTAATGGGAGCACAGATGGCCAGGTGGGCACATTCCTGGGAGCCGGCAGGAAGTGCAAGCCTGAGGCGTAGGCCACGCCAGAGAGAGGAGCCCTTGGTAAACGACAGGAGAGCTTGCGAGGGCGATGCCCAGCAAGGCATGGGATGTCAGGCTCCTTGGCGCTTCGCAGTGCCCGCTGTGGTCGCTCTCATAGCGACGTGCTGGTGGGACAGAGCTCGTGGGGACAGCCTCAGTCATGCTGGGTTTCAGCTAGTGGGCCTGTGAGGGTCGCACTTTCCCACTCCCACAGAACCGGGGCCGGGCAGGAACGCCAGTTCGTGACTGAGGGGTGGGGCAGCACTGCAGGGGTGGCAGCACACGCCAGCGTCTGTTGTGCTGCCCGCTGCAGTGGCACAAAAGCAATAGCAGGTAAAGCTGCTAGTTCCTGAACACACTTCACACTGCCCAGCCAGACGTAGTGATCCTCGAGGTTATAATCTGTGGGGCTGGCATTGTGGTGCAGTGAGTGTACAAAGACACAGGCACGCTCACACTCCCTCTCACACTTGCCCTGAGGTAGGCCCGCTAGGGAGCGGCTGTGTGGAGGGCTGTGGCTCTCATAGGGAGAGGTGGTGATCGGGTGTCTGAGCAGGGCGCATTGCCGGGCTGCAAGCCAGCGGGACAGGGAGTCCGCACATGGGCTCCTGTCAGGAATCTCCTGACGCCTTCTCATCTCTGCAGGCGGCTGACTTGGATGGGGAGATCGACCTGTCCACTTGTTACGACGTCACGGAGTATCCAGTCCAGAGGAACTATGGCTTCCAGATCCATGTGAGTGTGGGAGGGAGAGAGTCTGCTTTCCCACATGCAGCAAGACCAAGCCCTTCCCCGTAGCACCGTGTCCTTCTTGTAACACTGACACCTCTTTCTATTTATTTATTTATTTACTTTATTTTATTGGAAAGTCAGATATGCAGAGAGGAGGAGAGACAGAAAGCAAGATCTTCCGTCTGATGATTCATTCCCCACGTGACCACAATGGCCAGAGTTGAGCTGATCTGAAGCCAGGAGCCAAGAACTTTTTTCTGGGCCTCCCACGCGGGTGCAGGGTTCCAAGGCTTTGGGCCGTCCTCCACTGCTTTCCCAGGTCGCAGGCAGGGGGCAGGATGGGAAGTGGAGCTGCCGGGATTGGAACTGGCGCCCATATGGGATCCTGGCACATTCAAGATGAGGACTTTAACCGTTACTCTATCACACCAGGCGCACTCTTTCTCTTTAAAGACTTGTGTATTAGAGAGAGACGGTCACAGATCTTCATCCTGGATGGCTGCCCTGGCTCCCCGGTGGCTGGCAGAACCCTTTCCCAGTGGGCCTTTCCCAGTGTGTCAACAGGAGCTGGATGGGAGATAAAGGAGCCTGCCCTGTGATGCGTTGAGTGCGCATCATAAGCAGCAGCGTAACCCACTGCCCACAGCAGCGGACTTTACGCATTCTCCTTTGTTTTCTGATCCTGGATTTGGGGCAGTTGGAAGGATGTGGGACTTAGAAGGGATGTGTGTTGCTGTTTAAATCTTTTTTCCCCGAAGTCTTGAGGGGTGTTCAGATGAGCAGAGAGGCCTTCAGAAGCAGCCCGAGGGGCTGTTGTAGTGCAGAGTTAAGCCACTGCTTTGCATGTCTGTTCCCATGTCACAGCTCCAGTTCCAGCCCTGGCTTCTGGGTCAGCTGGCTCTATCTGTTGCCCTGCCTTTTAAAGTAAGTCTTTAAAAAAAAAAAAAACAATTGGCAATTCAAATAAGATGGTTCTTTAAAAAATAAAAAAGTTATTTGTCAGCTGGATTGACAGTGAGAAAGAACAGCCAGCCCTCTCTCTGCTGACCCACTGCCCCAATGCCATGGCGGCTAAGCCTGGGCCAGCCCAAAGCCAGGAGCCTGGAACTCCCGGGGTCTCCCACACAGCTGGCAGGGGGCTGGAGCAAAAGTGGAACAGCCCATTTACCAGTGCTGTGGCGTAACGGTGCAGTGCTCCGCGAGGGGCCTAGGGCCCAGGGTCTCTGCCCCCACGTGAAAAGCCACGGGAGGCTGCTGGCTTGCGGCCAGCCCAGCTGCAGTTGTCCTGGTCATTCGAGAAGTGAGCCAGTGGGTGGAGGATCTTTGTCTCCCGGCCCCTGTTCCCTCCAAAACTTTCAAATAAGTTAGTAAAAAAAAATTTTTAAATATTTGTTTTTATTGGAAAGTCAGATAGATATGCAGAGAGGAGGAGAGACAGAGAGAAAGATCTTCCGTCCAATTCACTCCCCAAGTGACCGCAACGGCCGGAGCTAAGCTGATCTGAAGCCAGGAACCAGAAGCTTCCTCTAGGTCTCCCACGCGGGTGCAGGGTCCCAAGACTTTGGGCCATCCTCGACTGCTTTCCCAGGCCACAGGCAGGGTGCTGGACAGGAAGCAGGACCACCAGGATTAGAACCGGTGGTTGTATGGAATCCCAGCACATAGAAGGTGAGGGCTTTAACTGCTAGGCTACTGCACTGGGCCCAAAATGCGTAAATCTTTTTTTTAAAAAAAAAAGAGGGGTCGGCATAGCATCATAAGAAGTCAAGTTTCCACTTGTGCTGGTGTCCGTGGTTGGTGCCAGTTTAAGTCCCAGCTGCTACACTTCCAGGCCAGCTCCCCACTGATGTGCCTGGGAAAGCAGCCGAGGATGGCCTGAGTGCTTGGGTCCCTGCACCAAAATGGGAGAGCCAGAAGAGCAGCCCAGCTCTGGACATTGTGGCCATTTGCAAAGTGAACCAATAGGTACACAATCTCCGTCTCCCTCTCCCCCTCCCTCTGTGGATCAGCCATTCAGGTCAGTCAGTCTTTACAAATAAATGAAGCAGCTGAGACAGACACCACATGGGATGCTGGCATTGCAGACGGCAGCTCTGCCTGCTGCCCTGCAGCGCCGTTCTTGTTTAAAATGCTTCTCCCTGGCCATTTCCTCCGCCGTGTGATTCAAAGGCATCCCAGAGTCGGCCCCACCCCGTGGCAGTCACCCACTCAGGACACCACTTTCTTAGTGGGAATTCTCTGGACGGGAACTCGGGATTGGTGTCACTGTAGCAAGGGATGTAAGTCGGACCTTGCCCGGGGTAGGGAGGCATAGGGCCGAGGTCTGGGGGACCTGGCACCAGGCCACAGCACTCAGGGCAGCTGCAAGGGTGCCCGCGGTGCTGCGAGGAGGTGGCCATCCGTTGCCTTTCTCCCCGCTCGGCTTTGTGCTGCCTGCTGGGGCCTCCTCCTGCTGGGGCCTCTGCTGCAGGTTGGAGGTGCCAGCCTCCCCACACAGCCCCTGACACCCCCCTGCCTTGTGTGCAGACCAAGGAGGGCGCGTTCACCCTGTCGGCCATGACCTCCGGGATCCGGCGCAACTGGATCCAGACCATCATGAAGCACGTGCACCCCGCCACCGCCCCGGACGTGACCAGGTGCGCCCAGGGAGCCCGCCACGCGCCGCTCGCGCTGCCCTGTGATCTGCTGCTGGCTAACCTAGCCTCCCTTCGGCTTCTGGGGTTGCCCACCTTGGCTGGGTCGTTCCGTGAATGGCATCTGTGGCCGTTGTCAGCTTGGAGTTGTTGAGGGTCTGCGCCTGCGCAGCGGCCTTGCAGCCCTGTGGTGCCGTGGCCGTGGGCCCCCGCCGCAGCGCGGCCCCCCTGGGTCTCCTCTTGGCCTCACTCCTACGTCTGTTTGCTTTCTATGCAACCAGGAAAGGCTTCTCTTTGAAACTCTCGGTGCTGATGCCCAAGTTGGAAAACTGTGTTCTCTCCTGTGTTAGCGCTCTGTGGTTCGTATGCCTCGCGACGCGCTGCATGCCTTCTCCCTCCTGCCCCGCAGCGTCCGTGTGAGAAGCGCGTGGAGAAGGCTCCAGCGTGCAGGGCTGCTGCCGTGGTGGCCGGGGCTCTGGCACCCCCAAGGCCGGCCTCTCCGGCGTCATACTTGGATCACACCCAGGCAACTTCCTGGGCCGGGGCAGTGAGGCAGCAGGTGCCCGCCTCTGGGCACTTCGCCACATCCAGGCTTTGCTGAATTCCCCACACGCTGGGTGAGAAGTAAGGACTGGAAGCCCGAGAAGGGTCTTCACGCTCCTTCTCTGCGTTAGTCCTTGGTCACTCATTCACAAAGCAGGTGATCCCGAGTGGCTCTGCCTGTACAAGGTCAGGCCTGGTGGCCCTGTGTGTCTCCTGGAGGAGGACACGTGCCCACGCGGCTGGGCTGGGGGTACCCTTGGCTGTCCCGGGTGGCCTCTGCCGCTGCTTCTGTGGCCCTCGCTCAGCTGGAACTTGAGGGCCCCCTCCCTCTGCTCGGCCTATGAGAAGCGCTGCTTACAGCTGACTGGACTACCCACACACCTGGGAGCCCAAGACCGCGCTTTCCCGCAGTCACAGCCAGGCCTGAGCCGCAGACCGGAAGAAGTCAGCTTGTAGCTGGCCCGGCAGGCGTCCAGAATCTGCTCGTTTGCAGCTGTGTAGCTCGGCTGTGGTGGCTTCCCACGCCAGCCGTGGTGCCTCCCAGCCCGGGGCTTGTGCTCGGGCCATTTCCTGCTGCCCGGCCTCTGTCAAGGGTGGCAGCAGGCTCACCCCCCAGGTCATCGAGGCCTCCGTCATTCTCCCGGGGAGGTTTCTGTCGTCTGAAAAGACAAGACTTTGTAATGCTGCTGAGACCCCTTCCACACAGTGCTGGCCTGCTTTCTGGGGTGGGCGAAGCGGCTGCTGGCCCTGGAGGAAGCTTCCCCTCACTGGAGGCACAGCCTGGCTGCCACACCTGGGCAGCAGGCCTGCAGTGGCGCCTGCTTGCATGTCACGCCGGATCTCTGTGGTCACGGGCTCTGCGGTTCTGCGATGCCGTGTGCTCGCAGTCCTCCTGACCGTAGGGTAGTGAGGTCTTGCCAGCCCTGCGGCTGCCGGGTGACGGCAGAGGAGCCTGGTGCCGGTCCCTTCCTGTCTTCCTTGGCAGCCTCCCTTGCTGGAAATCTTTGCTTAGAGGCACACTGGGGAAAGGCGGAGATTCCCCGGACTCTGAGCTCAGCTGTACCCACAGCCAGTGGTAGAGACCCAGGAGCCCTGCCCTTCCCTGCCTGCTTGTGCCCCTGGCCACTTGTCTACCCCACTGTGCCGCCTTCTGGCCTGGCCCTTGCGCTGCTGCAGGTGTGGCCTGTGGCTCCCTGATGCTTCCCCATGGTCTTGACCTTCCCCTTTCATGTCAGGCAGAGGGTACTTGGCAGACATGGAAGTCTCACCGCCTGCTTGTTGAGCCCTCAGTGCCCTTTTGGAACGGCTGTTCCACTCTGTCTGTCACCCCTGGCCAGTGTGCAGGTGTTTGGACACTCTGGGACCCCAGCAGTGCTCTCTGTGTGGTGTCTCCCTAGCTGGCTGAGGCGCCGCCCTTCTCCTTCTCCCAGGGAAGAACGTGGGATAAAGGCAAGGCAGTTGTGCCGAGTTGTACGGCGGGTGTGGATAGGGCGGGCATCCCCCTGCTGCTCACTGTGTCTCCTCTCCTGCCCGCAGCTCCCTGCCAGAGGAGAAGAGCAAGAGCAGCTCCCCTTTGGAGGCCTGCCCAAGGCCCAGTGACAAGCCCGAGGCCGAGCCCGGGGAGCCCGACCCGGAGCTGAAGAGGAGCCGTGCCCGGGAGCGGAGGCGGGAGGGCCGCTCCAAGACCTTTGACTGGGCCGAGTTCCGCCCCATCCAGCAGGCCCTGGCTCAGGAGAGGGCTGCCCGGCCCCCCAACACCCAGGAGCCTGGGCACCCCGAGGCAGAGCCTGGTGAGCTGGAACGGGAGCGTGCACGTCGCCGGGAAGAGCGGCGCAGGCGCTTCGGGATGCTGGATACCCCGGACGGAGTGGGCGCTGAGGACGCGGCCCTGCGCATGGAGATTGACCGGAGCCCGGGGTTGCTTGGCCCCAGCGACCTGAAGGCGCAGAACGTCCATGTGGAGATCGAACAACGCTGGCATCAGGTGGAGACCACCCCACTGCGGGAAGAGAAGCAGGTGCCCATCGCCCCCCTGCACCTGCCCTCCGAGGATGGCACTGATCGCCTCTCTACGCACGAGCTGACCTCCCTGCTGGAGAAGGAGGTAATTCCCAGGGGCCTGGGCAGCACAGACCGTGCCCACCCTGGCACAGTGACATGCGGGCAGCCTGACGTGCGGGCAGGGCCAGCTGCCACAGGTTGGCAGTAAGGGGTGGAGTTCCTGAGTGATAGATGCTGTACTGTGGTTCTGCCCATCATAGTACCTGAACTGGTGATTTTAAGCAAGAGGGCATGAGCAGGGATTCCATAAGGGCACTCCCCAGATGCCTGCCCTGGCCCTGGCGGCAGCTCCGGAGGGACCAGGGTCAGGTCTCAGACTGAGGCGGGGAGCCACCCAGGGGTGCCGGAGCAGATGAGGAACTCAGCCCTGTGTGGGCTGAAGGTCATCTCTCAGGAAGCTGTCCCCCACACTGAGGCCACAAGGTCTCGATCAGTACAGTGCCTCCCGGCCCACACCCTGTAGGCGCCCCGTCACTGGCCACGGAGGCCGTCATGTCGCTCACAACTGTCTCTTTTTGCCGACAGCTGGAGCAGAGCCAGAAGGAGGCCTCGGACCTTCTGGAGCAGAACCGGCTCCTGCAGGACCAGCTGAGGGTGGCCCTTGGCCGCGAGCAGAGTGCCCGTGAGGGCTACGTGCTGCAGGTAGGGTGAGCGGCTGCTGCTCGCCGTGCACCCCGGGCCCTCACTCAGGGCCTGGCCAGGCTAGCGGTGTGCAGAGCTGAGCTCCCGGAGGCAGTGCCTGCTCGGGCTGGCGGCTCTGCGCGGGCCGCTTCCTCTGCTGTCCTCGAGTTCTCCAAGGGGCCAGGGCACGCTCCTCACGAGCACCCCAACACTTAGATGTCATCTCCAGCTGACTCCACAGTAGCTGTGTGGGGCCGCTGTGCAGAGGTGGGGGAGCGGGGTTACCTCAGAGGCGGATTCAGGCACAGGTCCCCAGTTGTGCCTGTAGCACGCCATAAACAGGCCGGGCTGCTGACCCAAGCCTGACGTCCCCACTTGCTCCTTTCTGGCCAGGCTGAGGTTTGAAAGGGACAGTGGCCACCCAGATAGCCTAGCCTGGGGGCTAAAATAAGGCAGACAGCCCGGGTGGCTGCCCTGCCCCCCCGCCCCCATGCTATAGCATCCCAGGTCCATGCTTGTTCAGGGACACAAAGCAGGCACTTCTACCCCCATGCTCTTGGTAAGGCGGACGGTACAGCATTAGTGGCAAGTTCCCAGATTCATGTTCAGGTCCTGTCCTGGTAGAATTAGACTTTGCAATCTCTGAGAGCGTGGCCACAAAGACCCAGAGTCTGACAGGCAGGGAGTGGCATGTCCAGGATGCTACGTGTTCCCCGGGCACCGCTTGCCCTCCTTGGCCTCCTTCTCTCCCTCCTCCTCCCCCGAGCCACTTTAGACCGTCCTGTATCTGGGTTGCTGTCAGGCCCTAGTAACAGGTTGGGGTAACCCTGCTGCTTACCTGCGTGTACAGAGAGGTCTGTCACTTGTGTTGGCCCTCCGGTCGGGGGCCTCTTAGCAAGCGTTCATTGGGCCCATGCTGCAAGAGCTGACTGCAGACTGGGTGAGGGAGAAGCTGGCGGCAGCCTTGGCACATTGCTAACCTGAGGGCGCACCCAGGGGTCCCAGGAACCCACACGGCAGCACCAGGCCGCGCTGTCCTCTGGTGCCAGGTGACCTGGCACCAGCCTTGGAGCTGGTCACCAGGGGTCTGTGGAAGCAGGGCTGCTCGGAAGGAAAGGCCGGGAGGGGTGGCCGCTGGGACGGGTACCGCATGGACTGTGCTGGGAGGAGCTCGCGTGGCGTGGGTGTGGCGTGTGCTTGAACTTGAACTGAGTGTCACATCTGTGGCTTTCCAGCAGCAGAGCAGAGGGAGCCTCAGGAAGGGCAGGCTTCAGGGCGGGGCTGGCCCCTCTCCAGTCCCCATTGTTGTCGCTCCCCTTGGCCCCAGCCACTGTGCATGCCTTTCTGTTGGGGGAGTTTGGTTCCATCGTGTCTCGTGCCATTGCGTTTCGTTCTCTGCCTGCTTCGCGCTCTCACTTGGAGCTGCACAAGGTTGGTCGGTTTGTGGTGGTCTCAGCCCTGGTCTTCGTCCCCTTTCAGGTAGAGATTAGTTCTCCTGTCCCCGGAGGCCTGGCCCCTCGCAGACATCTCGCCAGCAGCTCCTTTCCTTCCTTCTCTTCCTGGCTTGGAAGGAAGTGACGTCGTGTACCTGCACCCCGTGTCTGCGCTGTCGTAGGACTTGTTGCCTAGAGCCGTACGTGCACTTTGTTTTGCGACAAGCGCTCCCCCTCCAGACGCAGGCGCAGCTCTGTGCTCCTCCTGCCCCGCTCCCCGCCGCTCGCCCTCTTCTCCCCCAGCCCCCTCCCCCTGTCTGCGTTTGCCTCCTCGGTGTGTCCCATTACTCCGTTTTGTTTGATTTATTTCTCCTAGAAGCTGTTTGGTTAGAGCTGGTTTTTTTTTTATGTCACTGTCCATGTTTTGTTTACCTGGAAGCAACTACTTTACCAAAAACAAAAAAGAACGATTAAGATGATTTGTTGGATTTTTTTTTTAATGGGAAAAAAAAAAGTTGTGCAAAGGATAAGAGCCAAACCTACCAAGGAGCTTTTCTGTGGCTAACCCTGGCCAGAGGTGTGACACTCAGAGCGGGGAGGTCCGGCCAAGGCTTACTAACCAGTATCTCATCGGTTTTTTTAAGACTGAAGTGGCCACCTCCCCATCGGGTGCCTGGCAGAGACTCCATAAAGTCAACCAGGACCTGCAGAGAGAGCTGGAAGCCCAGTGCCAGCGCCAGGAGCTGATCACGCAGCAGATTCAGACCCTGAAGCGTAGCTATGGGGAGGCCAAGGACGCCATCCGGCACCACGAGGCCGAGATCCGGAGCCTGCAGGCGAGGCTCAGCAATGCCGCGGCCGAGCTGGCCATCAAGGAGCAGGCGCTGGCCAAGCTGAAGGGCGACCTGAAGCTGGAGCAGGGCAGGGTCCGGGAGCAGCTGGAGGAGCGGCAGCAGCGTGAGGCCGTGCTTAGCGCCCAGCTGAGGGCCAGCGAGCAGAAGCTGCAGAGCGCCGAGGCCCTGCTCCTGGAGAGGACGCAGGAGCTGCGAGGCCTGGAGACGCAGCAGGCACTGCAGCGGGACCGGCAGAAGGAAGTGCAGAGGCTGCAGGAGCGGGTGGCTGCGCTCAGCCAGCAGCTGGGTGCCAGCGAGCAGGCTCAGCGGCTGATGGAGGAGAAGCTGCAGAGCAACTACGCGCTGCTGCTGCAGAGCTGTGAGGAGGAGAAGCGGGCGCTGCTGCAGAGCCTGAAGGAGCTGGAGGACAAGGCCAGCGCCTACGAGGACCAGCTGCAGGGCCACGCGCAGCAGGTGGAGGCCCTCGAGAAGGAGAAGCTGAGCGCCAGGTGCGAGGGCAGCGAGCAGGTGCACCAGCTGGAGCAGCAGCTGGAGGCGCGGGAGACCAGCCTGCGCCAGCTCGCTGAGCACGCGCAGCACCTGCGGGAGGAGCGCGACCTCAGCAGGCAGCGGCTGACGGAGCTGACGGAGCGGGTGGCCGCGTCCCACCACGATGTGGCCGCCCTGCAGGAGAAGCTGAGCGGGCGGGAAGCGGACTACAAGAGCCTGGAGCGCTCCTACCACAGCGTCTCGGAGCAGCTGCAGAGCGCGCACACACTGCTCCGGCAGAGGGAGGAGGAGCTGCAGCGCATCAAAGACGCGCACGAGGGCGTGCTGGAGAAGAAAGAGCAGGAGCTCCGCGAGGCTCTGGTTAAAGTGGTCGCCCTGGGCAGCAGCTTGGAGGAAACAGAAATAAAGCTGCAGGCCAAGGAAGAGATTTTAAGGAAGTTTGCAGAGGAGTCTTCGGGGGCCCTGGAAGACAGAGAGCAAGAGGGGGGCATTGCCCTTCCAGGCCAGCAGCACCCAGCTGCCAGCAGCACACCCTCGGGCTTCCCACACGCGCGGCTGGAAGACGAGGCCCCAGCAGCTGCCCTGGGGGACGAGGGTGGTGATGGCAGCCCTGGCAAAGAGGAGGGCACGGCACCGCCCAAGTCGGCCGAAGTGTCCAGCAGGGAGGGCCATGTGCAGAGCTCAGCCAAGCCTGACGCGGGAGCAGCTGGGGGAAAAAGGCAGAGAATCCGGTTCTCCACGATCCAGTGCCAGAAGTACGTGCAACCCGAGGGGTCTGAGAAGACCTGGACCAGCAGCACGTCGTCGGACACCAGTCAGGAGCGCTCGCCCTCTGAGGAGAGCGTGTGTTCGGAGGCCGCGCCCGGCGCTCTGCCCGCAGCCAGTGATGCAGAGACGTACCTGTCCATCATCCACTCCCTGGAGACCAAGCTCTACGTCACAGAGGAGAAGCTCAAGGACGTGACCCTGAGGCTGGAAAGCCAGCAGGGCCAGAGCCGGGAGGCACTGCTCGCGTTGCACCAGCAGTGGGCTGGCGCTGAGGCGCAGCTCCGCGAGCAACTTCGCGCCAGCCTGCTGCAGGTCGGCTCCCTGGCTGCCCAGCTGGAGCAGGAGAGACGCGAGAGGGCCTCGGGTGTCGAGAGCCACGTCGGGGAGCTGGGGGACTTCCAGGTGAAAAACAGCCAGGCCCTGTCGTGCTTAGAGAGCTGCCGGGAGCAGCTGAGGCTGCTGCCACGGGCCGGCCAGGACAAGCAGGATGCGGGCCCGACCTCCCTGGCTGGCATGGAGAGCGCGCTCGTGAGCGTCATGCAGGCCCTGCAGCCCTGGCCCGGCCCTGCAGACAGCGGGGTGCAGGCATGGCTAGAGGAAAGACGGCTGGTGGAGGGCGGGGCGGGCCCCCCGGCCCAGGGCCCTCAGCCGGAGCTGAGTGAGCAGCAGCAGGTGAAGCTGCTGTCCGACCAGATCGCCCTGGAGGCCTCTCTGATCAGCCAGATAGCGGATTCTCTGAAGAGCACCACCTTGGATGTGTCCCGCGTCCTCAGTGAGCTGTCGCGAGCAGGGGAACTGTCCCTGGAGGCTGAGCGGGGTACGCACTTGGCCCTGGCGCCCGCAGAGGCCTGGGCCAGGAAGGTGCTGGTAGACGGCGAGTTCTGGAGCCAGGTGGAATCCCTGAGAAAGCATCTGGGGACACTGGGAGGAGAAGCTGCCAGCGTCCCGGGAGGCGGGCAGCAGCATGTCCCGCAGGGCCTGGCCGAGGCCACGTGGGTCAGGGCAGAGCTCAGCTTCGCCACGCAGTCAGTGAGGGAGTCGTTCCAGCACAGGCTGCAGAGCGTCCAGGAGACCCTGCAGGGGACGCAGCGGGCCCTGCGGCAGCACAAGTGTATGCTGGGAGAGATCCTGAGAGCCTATCAGACACCGGACTTTGAGCGCGTGGTGCAGCGGGTGTCAGAGGCCCTGGGGCCGGCGGTGGGCAGCGAGGACAGTGTGCGCACGTTCTGGGAGCTGAGCCCTTCAGAAGCGCTGGGTCCGGACACAGAGGGCTCCCAGGATCCCTTGCGGGGGCCGCAGCAGAACCCGCAGGCCCTCGTGGCCATCCAGGAAGAGCTGGCTCAGCAGCTGAAGGAGAAGGCCAGGCTGCTGGAGGAGATCTCGGCTGCCCTCCCGTCTCTGCCGCCCTGGGAGTCACTCGGGGGCTGCCGGAGGCTCCTGCAGGCGTCTCACGAGCTCTCCTATAGCGCCTGCCTGGGAGGCCTCGGGCAGTACTCGTCCCTGCTGGTTCAAGACGCCATCGTGCAGGCGCAGGTGTGCTACGCAGCCTGCAAGATCCGGCTCGAGTACGAAAGAGAACTCCGCTTCTACCGGGAGTCCTGGCAGAGCGGGGGCACCTCCTGCCAGGAGCAGGCGCTGCGCGAGGAGTACGAGGAACTGCTCCACAAACAGAAAAGCGAGTACCTGCAGCTGATCGCCATCATTGAAAGGGAGAACGCCGAGCTCAAAGCCAGGGCCAGCCAGCTGGGCCAGCAGCAGGCAGAGAGCGAGCGCAGTGAGAGCACTCCACCGCAGGGCAGCTGCGTGGCAGAGCACAGCCGGGTGGGGAGCCAGCTGGGCGCCTCGGCCAGGGACAGTCAGGACCTGGAGCGGCACCATGGGCAGCAGATGCAGACCCTGGAGGATCGGTTCCAGCTCAAGGTCAAGGAGCTGCAGACGATCCACCAGGAGGAGCTGAGGGCCCTGCAGGAGCACTACTCGCACAGCCTGCGCCACCTGCAAGAGACCCTCGGCCTTGGCCCACAGCCTCTGCCCGAGGCCCTGCCACCCCCCGGCGCCACCTGGCCAGCCCAGCCCGCCGTGGCCCTGGGGGAGGCCGACTCCATGACGGGTCTGCGGGAGCGCATCCAGGAACTGGAGGCCCAGATGGACATGATGCGGGAGGAGCTGGGCCACAAGGAGCTGGAAGGTGACACGGCCTCCCTGCGTGAGAAATACCAGCGGGACTTGGAGAATCTCAAGGTCTCCGGCATCATTTAGTCCACAAAGCCATCTGCCGGTTCCAGGGCGGTGTGGGAGGGGGCTTGGTAAAGTTGACCCGCAGCCGGGTGCACTCTTCTGCTGTCCCTCTGCTTGCTGGCCATGGTGACGTCGTCAAGGGATGGGTTTCCCCCCCCATAAAAAAAAAACCCACTCTCACCATGGGAGGGGGGACTGGCAGGAGGAGAGCAGAGTCCGTCTGTCCACTGCCTCTCCACTGCCTGCCCCCGACTCCCCAGCACCGCGACAGGCTCCCTCGAGAGGGGCTGCAGCCAGCCTTCCTGTCCTCCCCAGGGGTTTGGGGACAGCTCTTTCCTGGAACAGTCCCCACACGCTGCTGCATTTCCCACTCGCCCTGCTGGGCCCTAGGGACTGAGTTAAGTGAGCGATCAGGCACGCGGGATCACACAGTGCACCGTGCGTGTGGCTGTTGCGCGTCCTGCACAAACCTTCCGGCTGCCTTTGGCTCAGCGGACACCGCATGGTGCCAGGTGCTCTCGGGCACCCGCAGCACAGCCTGCTGAGCTGCACAGGCCATGTGCAGTCCTTCGTCCTCAGCATGCCTGTGACGGACCCCTGCCCTCAGCCCTCTACCCTCCGCGTACCCCACAAGCAGACAGATCCTGCTGAGGCAGCCACAGAGCTGGTCTCCGCTCTTCTGTCCCTAGTCGGCCGGAACCGTTCAACCCCGTAATGAATTGTGCAAGGCTTCCACCGCAGTCTGTTCCCGGGTCTGGGGTGGGCAAGCTCAGGTGTGCGGGAAGAATTGCACAGACCCTTCCTGGGCCCGCAGATGCCAAGTCCATGCCCACCTCTGCGAGGCGCCCAATCAGCCCACATGGTGGTTCCTGGGCACGAACCTCTCCACATCCGGAAGAGCTGCTCCCCTCTGGTGGGCGGAGTCAGCCCGCAGAGGCCGGTCGGGAGGAGCCATGCTCCCTGTGTGCTGGCTTCACCTCCTCCCCCAGGACGTGCAGTGTGTCAGCAGCCTGTGGGCCCACTGTAACTGTTGTAACTGGTGGATTTCTGCCTAGGTCGGGGAGCCCACTGCCCCTCAACCATGCCCACATCAAGACTGCTGAACACCTGTTTTTGAACTTTGTGATGACTAGCTTAAAAATTCAGATTTTTTTTCTGATCAAATGTGAGAGTACTTTAAAAAGTTCATGGAAAGTGGAATTAAAAGATGAGTTTCTTTTAAGATTTTTTTCATTTGAAAGGCAGACAGAGGGCCTGGCACAGTAGCCTAGTGGCTAGTCATCACCTTGCAACTGCCAGGATCCTATGTAGGCACCAGTTTGTGTCGAGGCAGTCTGCTTCCCACCCAGCTCCCTGCTTGTGGCCTGGGAAAGCAGTCGAGGAAGGCCCAAAGCCTTGGGACCCTGCACCGGTGTGGGAGACCCAGAAGAAGCTCTGGGCTCCTGGCTTCGGATTAGTTAAGCTTTGGCCGTTGTGGCCACTTGATGAGTGAACCAATGGACAGAAGATTTTTCTCTCTGTCTTTCCTCCTCTATACATATCTGACTTTCCGTCACTTCTTGGCCTTTTGGCTAAGATCAAGTGTAGCATATATTTGACTTTCCAATAAAAAAGAAATCTTAAAAAAAAAAAAAAGCAGACCTTCCATCGACTGGTTCACTCCTCAAACAGCCACAATAGCCAGAGCTAAGCCGGTCGGAATCCAGGAGCTTCTCCTGGGTCTACCATTGTATGTGCAAGGGCCCAAGGACTTGAGCCGTCCTCGGCTTTCCCAGGCCACAGAGCAGCGAGCTGGATGGGAAGGAGAACAGCCTGGACTTGAACCCGTGTCCACATTGAATGTCAGTACCACCGCCCCGACCCACAATATATTTTTCAACATGGATGTATCTTTTTTTTTTTTTTTTGAAGATTTATTTATTTTTATTGCAAAGTCAGGTATACAGAGAGTAAGATCTCCTGTCTGATGATTGACTCCCCAAGTGAGCACAACGGCCAGAGGTGAACCGATCAGGAGCCAGGAGCCTCCTCCAGGTCTCCCACATGGGTACACGGTCCCAAGGCTATGGGCCATCCTCAGCTGCTTTCCCAGGCCACAGACAGGGAGCTGGATGGGAAGTGGGGCTGCCAAGATTAGAACCAGGTCCCCTATGGAATTCCAGCGCATTCAAGGCTAGGACTTTAGCTGCTAGGCTACAGTGCCAGGCCTGGATGTATCATCTTGAAAGGCAAATTATAGCAAGGAAGGGCTCCATCTGCTGGTCCACTCCCCAGATACCCACAGTGGGCCAGAGTTGTACCAAGAGTGGAGCCAGGAGCCAGGATGTCCATCCGGGTCACCCACATGGGTGGCACACACCTGGTGAGGCGGGCCACAAGCAGTGTGCGTTACAGGGTGTAGGAGCAGGGAGGCTAGGCGTGCATTCTTCACTTGGGAGAAGCTGTGCACTGGTCATCTCCACAGATGGCCCCTCCGGCCTGAGGTGGGTCAGTTCAAGCCAGGGACCCAAGCGTTTGGGCCACCCTCCATTGCTTCTGCAGGCACATTAGCAGGGAGCTGGATTGGAGGGGAGCGATCGGGACTTGACCTGGCACCCACATAGGTGCCAGCACTACAGGAGCAGGGGTAGCCACAGATGATTTCGTTTTTTTAAGAGTTATTTATTTACTGGAATGTCAGATATACAGAGAGGAGGAGAGACAGAGAGGAAGATCTTCCGTCCGATGATTCACTCCCCAAGTGAGCACAATGGCCAATGCTATGCCGATCCGAAGCCAGGAACCTCTTCCGGGTATCCCACGTGGGTGCAGGTCCCAAGGCTCTGGGGCTGTCCTCAACTGCCCTCCCAGGCCACAAGCAGGGAGCTGGATGGGAAGTGGAGCTGCCGGGATTAGAACTGGCACCCATATGGGATCCTGGTGCGTTCAAGGCAAGGACTTTAGCTGCTAGTCCACGCCACCAGGCCCGCCACAGATGATTTTTGAAAGCCTTGGTCAAAGGGTCTTCCTGAAATTGATGAAAAAATCAGCATCATGAACGACCAGATGGATTTCCTTCCTTCATTGTTACTGATCTTTCAATTCTGTTTGTCCATGAAGTTCCCCGAGAGCCCTGACGCCTCACCCTGCCGGGAAGGGGCCTGGGAGATGACGCGCTCCGTGTTTCCCAGAGCACGTAGCGTGAGGCTCGCTGCGGCCTCTTGGGAAGCATTAGCCAGGGAGAGGAGGAAGACCTGGCAGGAGGGCTGCCCGCTGGCCTCGGCCAGCACAGCGGCGTGGGGCAGTGGAGTCCAGGACACAAGCACAGCTTGTAAGATCCTGAGGGCAGTCGGAGAGGCCCTGCCCCTTGAGTGGTTTGATACTTCAACCTGTGTGCCAGTCGGGCCGTGAGGATTCGGGCTGGAAGCCACGTGTGGCGAGCCATGCCAGAGTGGAGTGTTCCGCTTCACACGCGTCGGTGAGCGGCCTGAGCCCTGCCCGGAAATGCAGCTCCAGGAGGGCCTCGGCAGGAAGTGCCTGGCTGTGCTCACTGTGCGGGAAGCAGCTGTGCCTCTGGCTTGCACATGGCTCTTTGCATCAGGTGCCCTGTCCCGGCAGAGGCCCTCTGACCCCGTGCCCCTGTGTACCTGCCTGTCGGAGACAGCACTGAAAGCAATCTGGTCCCATGGCCTCTTCTCACTTAGCAAGGCCCACGGTGGGGCGGAGGGGGTCCCCTAACCAGGGCCTGCCAGGGTTCCTGTCACAGGATGGCCAACAAGTGCCCTCCCTGTTTGTGAGTCCCACCTGTGCGCCCTCCTCCCTCTCCTGTCTGCCCCACCCAGCAGCGTCGGCCCGGCCCCCTCTTGCCACCCACAGCAGGAGCGAGGCAGGGCGCGTGTGGCCGCAAGCCCCTCCATGGGTGCCTGCTGGTGCCCCAGGGCTTGGCCGGGCACAGAGACTGACAGCACTTGTGCACCTCGCAGGCCACGTGCGAGCGCGGCTTTGCCGCCATGGAGGAGACGCATCAGAAGAAGATCGAGGACCTGCAGAGGCAGCACCAGCGGGAGCTGGAGAAGCTGCGGGAGGAGAAGGACCGGCTCCTCGCCGAGGAGACCGCCGCCACCATCTCAGGTGGGCCGGGGGCCGTGCCGTTGGCACTGGGAGTCGGGCCAGCTCTGCGCGCGGAGCCGCCACAGCCTGCTCGGCCACTCGGGGGGTGACTCACGTGAGGGGCTTTTTAAGTGTCTGTTTTCATCTTGGAAGGCAGAGCAGCAGACAGAGACCTTCCCTCCGTGGGTTCAGTCCCCAAAAGCCTGCAATGACCAGGGCTAAGCCAGGCCAGAGTCGCAAACCCCATTCAAGTCCTACACGGGAGGCAGGGACCCACACACCTGGGCCTTTCTCCTCTACTTCTCAGTATGCATTAGCAGGGTGCTGAATCAGAAGTGGAGCCATGGGCCCGGCCCAGCGGCCTAGTGTCCAAACCCTCACCTTGTGCGCATCAGGAATCCCATATGGGCACCAATTCCTGTCCCGGCTGCTCCGCTTCCCATCCAGCTCCCTGCTCGTGGCCTGGGAAAGCAGTCGAGGACGGCCCAAAGCCTTGGGACCCTGCACCTGCGTGGAAGACCCGGAAGCAGCACCTGCTGATTTCAGATCAGCTCAGCTGCAGCTGTTATGGCCTCTGGGGAGTGGACCAGTGGATGGAAGATCTTCCATCTTCTCTCTGACTCTCCAAAAAAAGAAAAAGAAAAAAACTCTTTAAAAAAAGAGGAGCCACCGGACCCAACAGCTGCTGTGATATGGTAACTGGCTACACACGTCGCCCCCGTACAACCCCTGCTGCACGCCAGATAGCTGTGCAGGGCGGATTCAGGCTTGGTGTTTTTTTATTATTATTTATTTTTCTTGGAAAGGCACATTTAGAGAAGGAGATATATAGAGAGAGATCTTCCATCTGCTCTTTCACTCCCCAAATGGCCACAATGGCCAGAGCTGAGCTATTCTGAAGCCTGAGCCAGGAACTTTTTTCCTGGCCTTCCATGCGGGTGCAGCGTCCCAAGGCTGTGAGCCATCCTCCAGTGCTTTGTTACAAGCAGGGAGCTGGGAGGGAAGTGGCACAGCTGAACGCAAACCTGCACCCATATGGGATCCCTGTGCAAGGCGAGGATCCTAGCCACTGAGACACTGCAGCAGGCATTTAGTGGGGTTCTTCAGGAACCCTACCAGGCCGAGGGTGTGAGAGGCAACCTGGCACGTAAAACAGGCTGCTGATAGGTGGTAGACAGTATGTGAGGTACCACCATTCTGCCCACATTGCCCTGGCCCCAGCGGGGACGTGGCACGGGCGCCCACGGCCAGCCGCCTGGTGCTGAGGGCTGTCGTGTCTCTCCTACAGCCATTGAAGCCATGAAGAATGCCCACCGGGAGGAGATGGAGCGGGAGCTGGAGAAGAGCCAGCGGTCGCAAATCAGCAGCATCAACTCCGACATCGAGGCGCTGCGGCGGCAGTACCTGTGAGTTGGCCACTCGCCCCACACAGCCAGTGGACGCCACGCGGCTCCCTGCTCACCAAGGGCTGAAGGGCAGGGTGACCTGGAGGCTGCCCGGGGCGTGTCTGCCGCCCTGGCGCTCTGGTGCTGAGTGTGATGAAAGCACCCATATCTGTGTTCCAGAACAGCCTGCGCCCCTTCTCTGCCCTCCACACATGCCGACTCCTGGCAGGGCGTCTGTAGCCAGCACCCCTGCTTCCTGGAAGTGGCTGGTGCAGAGGCTCTGATGGCGTCCTATTGAATGGCCATGCTCTCCCGGGCCAGGGTGCGCTCTGCACGCCTGCGTGTGCCCAGGCCTCCCCAAGCGGCAGGCAGGCAGGCAGGCAGGCGCAGGCCCCGTGGCCACAGCCCAGCTGCTGAGCCACCACTCGCTCTGCAGGGAGGAGCTGCAGTCAGTCCAGCGCGAGCTGGAGGTGCTGTCGGAGCAGTACTCGCAGAAGTGCCTGGAGAACGCGCACCTGGCGCAGGCGCTGGAGGCTGAGCGGCAGGCCCTGCGGCAGTGCCAGCGCGAGAACCAGGAGCTCAATGCACACAACCAGGTGAGGCGAGGCCCGTCGGGGGACTGCGAGGGCCACCCCAAGTCTCCTGTGCATTCTTGGCCTGCACGATGGCCAGGGTCACACCCGTGCTGGCCCACACTGTGAACCTGAGCCACACCCCGAGCCCTGCCCCACGTGTCCCCACAGAAGGTGTTGGCTGCTGGAGTCTGTGGGCACATCTGCAGTGCTCAGGGCCCCCGGAGAGGACGCCAGCCAGGCAGCTGGCCCAGCTGTTTCCCAGACCGGAGGCCCTTGGGTCTGGAGCCTTGCTCTGTCCTCACACACAGCCCTGCTCCCAGCTGCCAGTGCAGGCCGTGGCAGCCTGGCGCGTTCTCACAGAAGGGGCCACGCGTGCGCACACTGTGGGTTCCGTGGAGGTGACTGTTGGCCTGTCCCACAGGAGCTGAATAACCGCCTGGCCTCAGAGATCACACGGTTACGGACCCTGCTGACCGGGGATGGGGGCGGAGAGGCTGCTGGGTCGCCCCTCACACAGGGCAAAGATGCCTACGAGTTGGAGGTACGGCACGTGGGGAGCGCAGGGGGCTCTGGGACCACGACCCTCAGGCCACAGCCGCAGCTGGCTGGGACGTCTGGCCGTCCCTGAGACAGCAACAGAGGCTGGCGGGTCCTCAGCCTGCAGCCCACTTCTCTGCCCGCAGCCCCCCAGCACAGGCTCATGCCCTCTGCGGGCTGGGCAGTCCCTCTGTCCGAGTGGTAGGCTGTGGGGCGGTCTCCCTCACTGGAAGGACATGGTCACAGAGAGTTCTTCATCTGCTGGTTCGCTCCCCAGCTGGCGCAGCAGCAAGAGCTCATCATCAAGGGATCTCCTGTGAGCCAGAGGCTTGAGCAGCGAGACGGGCAGTGGGGAGAGCAGTGTTCAGGGCCCCTACCAGGGGATTCACCACCCTTGCACACTGCTGCCATGTGGTGGTGAGCCAGTGCTGTGCCAGGGTGCCTGCCTAGCCCCAGGGTTCCTTGGCCCCTGAGAGTCAGTGCCTGTCGTTCCAGGTCCTACTGCGGGTCAAGGAGTCCGAGATCCAGTACCTGAAGCAGGAGATCAGCTCCCTCAAGGACGAGCTGCAGACGGCGCTGCGGGTACGCACGCCCCGCCTCCCACACGATGCGCATGCGGTGCACTGTCGCCGCGGCCAAGGCCCGCAGCGGGACATGTGGCACGACAGGGCAGGTCCCTGGCCACGTCTCATCCCCTGGGCTCCACGGGGCGGTTCCTGCCGTCGGGGGAGCAGGTGGGAGTCTCGGGGCAGTTGAGTCCTTCAGGAAGTCCCAGAGAGGGCGGAGGCCTGGCCTGGGCCGAGTCCCCCACTGCCATCGAAGGCAGTTGCGCTCTGCCTGCCACAGCCACCACCCCCCACACACACACAGCATGGCAGCCCCAGGGCACAGGCCTGCATAGCTCTAATCCCGCTGGCGGCTGCCTCGCTCCCCAGGATAAGAAGTACGCAAGCGACAAGTACAAAGACATCTACACGGAGCTCAGCATCGCCAAGGCCAAGGCCGACTGTGACATCAGCAGGTTGAAAGAGCAGCTGAAAGCAGCCACAGAGGCGCTAGGGGAGAAGCCCCCCGAGAGCGCTGCTGTGGGCTATGGTGAGCTCCTGGGTTCCCTGGGGGGCAACAAGACAGGCCTGAATTGGGAAGGCTCCCAAATCTGAGACCTGGAGCGCCGGCCTGGGCACAGTGACAAGTGCCACACCTGGGCTCCCAGAGCATGGGCACGCTCACAGCACTGCACCCAGCTCCAGCCTGAGTGCGTTAGACATGCATGTGGGTCCCCTTGAAGCTGGGACCATCCCCTGCGGGAGCAGATCCCTGAGGAAAACAATGCCCAGACGGCCGAGGGCACTCAGCCACAGGAGCGTGTTGGCTGCACGCATAATGGAGCAGTGGGGACAGGAAGTCACGGTGGTCTGAGCTGACCCACCCGGACACATGGCACACACTCCTGGGTGCTCTGTGCTACCTGCTCTAAGGGTAGTGCTGGGCACTGTGGTCATAAAGCCACTGGGAGGGCCTCAGGATCACACCTGACCTTGGCCGACCTTCAGAAAAAAGACCCACAAATGTGCCCCAGTCCAGCCTTTGCGTCAGCCAGCAGTGGCATGGCAGTGGCAGCAGGGAGCGGAGTTCTCATGGACAGTGGCCAGGCAGGGGTGCGGGCTGTGTGGGGGAGCCTCGGGGATGAGGGCAGCAAGTCCCAGAGCTTCCAAGAGGAGTGGGTAGCAGCAGGCGGCACGGGCTAGAGCACGCCACAGTATCATGCATGCCTCTCGATGGCTGTGTCCACTGGGGCCCTCGGGTGCACCGCTGTGATGATGGGCAGTCTCCCAGGATCTTGGGTTGGCACGGGCAGAGCTCCACACACTGATGAGCATAAGTCTGCTCTGCGTGTCCGAAGAACCACAAGGCACTGTGGGTGTGTGTGTGGTACCCCATGTGCTGTGTGAGTGTGTGTGTGGTAGGTACCCCATGTGCTGTGTGAGTGTGTGTGTGGTACCCCATGTGCTGTGTGTATGTGAGTGTGTGTGAATGTGAGTGTGTGTGGTACCCCATGTGCTGTGTGTGAGTGTGTGTGTGTGTGGTACCCCATGTGCTGTGTGAGTGTGTGTGTGGTACCCCATGTGCTGTGTGTGCACGCGCACTCATGCATACACGTCTGAGGGGCGCTGTCTCAAAGTGGAGTCACAGCCCCCCCCCCCAGTTTGCGTAGCAGCCCCTGTGTGCGCGGCAGGGCACAGGGGACCTGTGCAGTCACAGCCCCGCCGGAGGCAGGAACGAGCTGCGGGGAAGGGCTCAGGCGGGTCGAGGAGACCGGAACCCTTGGCTTGTCTGTCCCTGCAGACATCATGAAGTCCAAGAGCAACCCTGACTTCCTGAAGAAGGACCGATCCTGTGTCGGCCGGCAACTCCGAAACATCAGGTCCAAGGTGAGCAGGGCTCCAGGCCCGGGCCGGCTCCTGCGGCAGAGGCCGCCCTGCCAGGCAGCAGCTGGGCCGGCCTGTGGCGTCCCTCGCCGCCTGCCCTCTGCTGCCACTAGAGCCCCAAGCGCTCCAGGAGCCGGGAGGCCGGGCAGGCGGGAGCCGCGCAGGGCGCGGGCCGTCACTGTGTCTCACTCTCGCTCTTTCTCTGACAGTCCGTAATTGAGCAGGTCTCATGGGATAACTGACACGCGTCCGCTTCCAGGTCCCCTGGCGTAGGTAAAGCCCCCCTCACCGCCTGCCTGCATGCACCGCTCACACCCCACTGTTGGCACGCACTCTGCTGCAGCCGGCACACGCCCCAGCGAGGGGCCGTAACCTCGGAGTCCTCGGCACTCTAACCGCTCGGTGGAGCTCGGCCCACAGCGCCACGCAGCATGCATGCGGGTCATCCGTGCACGGCACCACGCTCACATTCCCACTCTAGACAAGTCCACAGTACCCTCGCGGGAACCCCCTCCCACAGGCCCCCGGGCAGCGGGCAGCCCCACAGCCTCCGCTGCCCTCACCGCCACCCCGAGGTCTCTGCTGCCCTTCCCAGCGCCGCATCCGTCTGGGCTTATGGGTTGCTCCTCCAGGGGCCCAGTGACTTGTGGGCCAACCTGCAAAGTGGTCAGAAGCCACCAGCAGCTGCCTGGGCAGGGCCAGATGTCCAGGAGCTGGCTTGGCGAGGCCGCGGCCTCTGCTGGCCAAGGGGCTCCGTCCAAAGCTCAGCCGGAGTGGGTTTGCCTTAGAACAACTGGGAAGTTTACCAGTTGCCGCTATGCCAACTGGTGTCACCTTGCCACAGTTCCAAGTCACTGGGATGTGGTGTAGGGTGGTTTTTTTTTGGTCTTTGTTTTTAACATGAAAATATTGTAGAATATCTGTTGGTTTTAAAGGCAGAGTGATGGGGGTGGGGGTGGGGACAGATAGATTTCCCATGTTCTGACTTATTTCCCAGATGCCTTCAAAAGTCAGGTCTGGACCAGGCCAAGGACAGGGGCCAGGGGCTCCGGCCTGCCCTCCCACACGGGTGCGGGGCCGGGGGCTTGGTGGCATTCTCTGCCTTCCCAGCACAGCAGCAGGGAGCTGGATCAGAAGCAGAGCAGCTCGCCAGCATGGGGTGCTGCTGTTGCAAGCTGAGGCTTAGGCTGCCCCGCCCCAACAGCAGCCCCAAATGAGACGGTGTGTTGTTGGCGCCTGACTCCTCTGAGGCCGGCCTCCGCCTCCAGCCTCTCAGTCTTGTGGCTTTAACCACAGCTCCGAGTGGCAGGCGGGAGATGGGGGGAGAGGGACGTGGGACAGATACAGGCCCTTAGAGGTCAGATCTGCAGCAAGGGGTGCCACACGAAGACGAGGCTGCAGGCCGGCCGCAGGCTGGGGGCTGAGCCCTGGAGCCGAGTCGGACAGTGGACGTGGCCTAGGCAGGGGCAAGGTGGGAGCTAGGTGCCCCTCGGCCTGGCCCTGATGGGAAATGCCAGGCAGCCCACCAGGCTGCTGTGGGTGGGAAGGCCTGTCCAGGTCAGGGGCTGGTGAGTTCACCATGTTTGGGTGTCCCGGCAGTTGTGACTGTCCCCAGCGGGGGTGCGGAGGCCTCCCTTCAGTTGCTATTTCCTGGTGAAGTCAGCTCCTCGCACCGGGTCAGATGGGCACCGTGGCCAGTACCTGGTCCAATGTTTATCTCGGGCCACTGTCCACACCGCCCTGCTCAGTGGAGGCTTGGCGCGTGGGTGCCGGCAGGGCACGGGATAGCCCGTGATGGGCTGTTGGCTGGTGAGGGCGCAGGAGCCAGCAGGCAGCAGGCCGGGTCTCAGCCGCACCCCGCTCCCGCACTGGTGAGCCAGCTGTGAGCCCTCCTCCCTTCGCACCACGGCCCCTGCTCGGCGGCCCCTCCAGCATGGCCGGCGCCCTGGCCACACCGGCACCCGCACCTGCAGCAGGCTGACCCGCACTTCTCTCCCGCAGAGTCTGAAGGAAGGCCTGACGGTGCAGGAGCGGCTGAAGCTCTTTGAATCCAGGGACTTGAAGAAAGACTGAGCAGAGGGCGCTCCCGGCTGCCCTCCCCTCCCCCGGCTCTGTGCCTTCCTCGTCGTTGCTGTCCCTGCTGTCACTAACTGGGTTTGGATGCATGAGAGACTGGGCGGCCCCACCCTGCCCTGCGATTCCAGCTTCCTGTCGTCTGTGGCACACGGCTTTTCCTCTGTGGTTTCCTGAAACGAGGCAGGCGGCACGGCTGGTGGGGGCCCCCCTTGGCCATCCCCACTGCACTCAGTATTAAGGCCGGGGGTCCCCAGGGGCGCTGGAGGGCCGGCACCTGTTAGCTCCACTGATGCAGCTTTGCTCACAGCCCACGTAGCCCGCAGGACTCCTCACGGCCTGGAGGGGGTTGAAGGCAGCCATTCCGGTTTTTGGTTTTTTTTTTTTTTTTTTTATTAAATCTTGCACAAACCCCGGCCCTCGGCCCTCTCGTTCCTTCCGCTGTCACTCCCCGGGCTCTGGCGTGTGGCCAAGAGCTCGCCCCACAGAGCAGTGCCGTGTGGCCTAGGAGGCGCTCAGGCCCCTGGCACGTTGCCACGAAGGTGCGAAGGAGCCGAGGACTGCAGGCCACAACCCTGGGCAGCTGCCAGTCCTTGAACCACTGGACAAGACCTGTGTAGTGCGCAGGAAGCTCCCCTTGCAGTTGGTGCCACCAGGAGCCAGCAGCCTCAGTAAAGTGGTGAGCCAACTTAGAGCCACGTGAGAGCCAGCAGCGCCGAGTCAACCTGGCCTCATTCTGCACCTGCACTGAGGTGGGGAAGGGGCACCCTCTTCCCTGGAGGGCTTGGGGTGCTCTCCTGGCCTCGAACCTGCACCCTCTCAGTTTTGGGGCATGGCCTATGCCTGCCTAGATTGCCAGGGGATCCCGTGAGGGACCGCAGGTGGCTTGGTGGTGCTGCGCCCAGAGCGGCTGGTGCCATTCCTCCGTCCGCCCATCTGTCCTCAGCTGCCACAGATGGCGCCTGCAGGCAGCAAAGACCCCACTCCAGGGCTTCGCTGCCTGTGTCCCCCTCAGGGCCCACGGCCCTCGAGTTCAGGGAAGAGAGAATTTTGATCCAGGCATAGAGGTGGCTTCTGTCTGGGTGGGCGAAGAGCCCCGGGCCAGGCCAGGCTGCGCTCACAGCTGCCGCTGCTGGCGGGCCATCCCTCTGCAGCGCACACCTGCGGGGGGGCTGCGGTTGGGACTGGGCCACGTGGAGTCACAGTGGTCAGAGCACAGGTCCCAACATCACTTAAAAAATCAGGGACCCCTTTGACCCCAAAAAAGAGGGAGGAAATGGAGGATTTTTCATGTTGCAAAGGACAGGGTAGTGTTGAAATCACACCGAAGGGCGAGTTAGGTATGAGGTGGTGGGGCCTGTGGGTGTGACACGCAGCGCTTTCTGGGCCACTTTGGAGGGCCCTGGCTGACGGCTGGCCCCTGTGCGTGCCCGTCTCCCGCCCTGGCCTCTCAGCTCTCGGGGAGGCTGCGTGCCCCATTGCTAGGCACACCCTCGTCACAGGGTGTCGGGGGGACGTGGTCACACAGTCCCAGGGCTGGGCGGCGGGCAACGTGGCAGTGAAGGCACTTTGGCCCGCGCGGGGCACAGCGAGGGTGTCCCCTGGGTGCACATCACAGCTGGGGCACGCACCTTGGGTGGCGTTGGTCCAAGCACCCAGGTACCCACCTGGAATGTTCAGGAGACGGGCAGAGTGGGTGAACGTGGGCTCCCCGGCGGCGGGCTGCAGGATGCCCGAGCGGGGATACAGGTCTCCCCAGGACCGCCATGTGCAAGTGTGGTGAAGCAGGTGGGAGCAGCGCAGCCCCGCCGGCTGGTGCTGGCCACGCAGAGCTTCCTGCAGCGTGGCTCCCGGAGGACGTGAGAACTGACTGGGCTACTGATGGACACTGGCGTGTTGGCGCAGAGGACGTCACGGCTGGCGGCACACGGCTGCAGCCCGCCCCGGCCCTGAGAACTTGCACCAAGGGGTCACAGGCTGGCAGGGAGCCCTGGGCACCGGGAGGGGTCTCCGTGTTGTCCTTGCTATGGCAGGCCGGGCTCTGCAGATGTAGCTGTTCGTTTGTATTCTGTAAATACTCCGACTTTACATAACTCCATCATAATAAACTATTTTTGGCTCACCCTGTGTGTGTGGCTCAGCGAGCTTTCATGCTGTGCGGGCTGTGCCGCGCGGCTGCCTGGGGTCCCCTGCAGTTGGGGGGCAGCCAGGGCACACCTCCAGCAGTGCTGCATGGGGAGCCGCCTGCATGGAAACCGTTTACCCAGACGGGGGGAAAGTCTGTACCAGAGGCATAGTGCACAGACCGGAGACCCGGGGCACTCTTCAGTTGTTCAACGATTTGCTAGTACTTTAACTACTACAGCCAGATGTGCAGAGCTGCGTTTTAGGGTCCTGCTTAACCAACATCTTCAGGGCCTGGTACGATGGCCTAGTGGCTAAAGTCCTCACCTTGCACACAACAAGATCCCATATGGGCGCCGGTTCTAATCCCAGCAGCTCCACTTCCCATCCAGCTCCCTGCTTGTGGCCTGGGAAAGCAGTGGAGGACGGCCCAAAGCCTTGGGACCCTGCACCCACGTGGGAGACCCAGAAGAAGCTCCTGGCTCCTGGCTCTGGATCGCCACAGCTCCAGCCATTGTGGCCGCTGGGGGAGTGAATCATCACACAGAAGATCTTCCTGTCTTTCCTAATCTCTGACTTTGCAATAAAAATAAATCTTAAAAAAAAAAGTCTTAAGACAGTCTGGGAAGTGTGTGCAGCCTGCTCTTCTTGCCCCTCAAGCCCCTGGGAGGGCTGGGCATCTGGAGGGGAGCGCCGGAAGAGAGCGTCCATCTGCTGCTTCACTCCTTAAGTGAGCGCAACGCCCAGAGCTGCGCCGATCTGAAGCCAGGAGCCAGTAAAGTCTTCCGGGTCTCCCACGCAGGTGCAGGATCCCAAGGCTTTGGGCCGTCCTCCACTGCTTTCCCAGGCCACAGGCAGGGAGCTGGATGGGAAGTGGAGCTGCTTGGGTTAGAACCAGCAACCATTGGGCTCCTGGTGCTTACAAGGCGAGGACTGGCAGCCACTAGGCCATCAGGCCAGGCCCAAGTACACGTGTGTTCGTCCCATGTTTCCGTGACCTTGCCCGGTTGCTCATGGATGTTAGCGTACAGCTTTAACATGCTACTCTGTATGTTACTGCAGTTTCCAAACTCGGCTGAGGGAGGAGAACCTGGCACAGCGAGTCCCCACAGGCTGCAGCCCTGCCGCCCCGTGTGCACGCTGCTTCAGTCCAGCTCCCTGCGGAGAGGGTCCAGTGCTGGTGCTCTGCACCCACAGGGGAGACCCGGATGGAGCTCCTGGCACAGCCCTGGCTGTTGATGCCTTTTTGTAGAAGATTTGTTTACATTTTCTAGCTTTTTTATTTATTGATTTTTATTGGAAAGTCGGACAGACAGGAAGATCTTCCATCCGATGACTCACTCCCCAACTGGCCGCAATGGCTGAAGCTGAGCCAGTCCGAAGCCAGGAGCCAGGAGCTTCCTCCAGGTCTCCTGTGTGGGTGGAGAGGCCCAAGCACTTGGAGCCGCCTCAGTTAAAACCAGTGCCCATATGGGATCTTGGCGCGTTCAAGGCGAGGACTTTTAGCCTTTAGGCTACCGCGTCAGGCCCCATCTGCTCTCTTTGAAATAGGTAAACATTTTTAAAATGTTTACAGGAGGCCGCATGGCAGCGTGTCAGGTTAAGTTACTGCCTGCAACCCAGCATCCCACAGGGACACCAGTTCCAGTCCCAACTGCTCCACACTCTTATATTAGAAAGGCAAATTATAAGTTGCCAACAAGGGCCTGGCACAAAGGCTCCGCTGGCTAATCCCCAGGCTGCACTTGCCACCCAGCTCCCTGCTTCGGGAGTGAACCAGCAGGTGGCAGACCCTTCTGTCTTTCCTTAGGAAGACAAATCTAAAATGCGAGGACAGAAAGGCCTCCAGTCCTGACCCCTTCCCCAGCAGGCAGAGCCGGGCTCCCCGGGCAAAGGCGCTTCCTCCGGGTGCCCTGCGTGGGTAGAGTCCCAGGCGCTCGGGCCGTCCTCCGCTGCCTCCCCACCACCTTGGCACGAGCTGGACGCGCAGCAGCCCCAGTTCCAGTCTGCCCACGCAAATACGGGTGTCAGAGGCACACCCCCAAAACGAATTTTCTAGAGAAACTGCACACGCTGCTAGAGAAGTTAGTACCCACGCTGGGAAGGGCATCCCCTGTGGGTTCCCGCAGCCAAGACTCGGCAGTGAGCTGGCAGCCGTCCCGACTGGGCTCCAGGGATCCCAAGCGAGGGCTCAGCTGCTGCCGCATGCCAAGCTCCCGCCTCAGCACCGAGGGCTCAGCGGCCACGCTGTGCGCTGCCCGCCACGGCAGACGCTGGGCGGCCGGCTCCTGCCCCGTGCCCACCACCACTGCATGCACAAGAGCAGGTCGGGAGCTGGCATCAGAGCTGGAAACGCTTGGAGCGGCCCTGTGACTGCAAAGCGTGGGGGACCAGAGGCCAAACCCCCAGGCCGGGGGCGCCCAGTGCCAGCCACTGCCACAGAAGACCTCGACAGCCAGGAGCCAGGGGCTCCATCCTGGTCTCCCACACGGATGGCAGAGCCAAGGGCTCGGACCATCATCTGCGTTTCCAGTGTGTTAAGGGGCTGGTGGCCTGCGCGGCAACGCCAGCACCCACATGGGTGCCGGTTCAAGTCCCGGCTGCTCCACTCTCCTAGTCCAGCACACTGCTGATGGCCTGGGAAGGCAGTGCAGGACTGAGCAAGTGCCTGGGCCCCCGCCCCACATGGGAGACCTGGAGGAAGGCCCAGCTGTCGTGGGCATCCGGGGAGCGAACCAGCAAATGGGCGGTCTCTGGGCTTTTCCCTCTAACTCTGCCTTTTGGGGTGGCTGGCTCAAGCAGAGCCACCCCAACTCAAGCGGTGGCTTAACCTGCCATGCCACAACGCTGGCCATGGCCAAGGGCATCCCAGGACACCTTGGCAGGAGGCACCATGACCCCCACCGGCCCTGCCAACTCGGGCCGCTCCGGGAAACGGCACAGAATCCCCAAAGCATCTCCCGGGGAGAAGCATCCAGGCCCCAAGGAATCGGCAGCAAGTGCGGTGTGGCCCCTGGGGGCTCTGGCGGCGCAGGTGCCGGGCAGGGAGGGCTGCACGGCCCGGGGGCCACGTTCCCAAATGGGCTGCCTGAGCAGCAAACCCACCCCTGGCCGTGCCCTGCAGGCGGCCTGGGCAGCCCCATGGAGCAGATGCCAGAGACCACCGACAGTGAACACCATGGCCAGCAGGCATGCCAGCCCGCACGTGGGGGGACGGCCGAATCCAGGGGCTCCCTGGCACAGGCAGCCTTCCCACAGACAGGGCACCATCCAGCCGTGACTAGAAGTCTGCCGTTTAAACACATCTCCAAGGGGCTGTTAAACAGTACCTGGGGGCTGGTGCAGTAGCCTAGTGGCTAAATCCTCGCTTTGCAACCTCCAGGATCCCGTATGGGCGCTGGTTCTAAACCCGGCAGCTCCACTTCCCATCCAGCTCCCTGCCTGTGGCCTGGGAAAGCAGTGGAGGACAGCCCAAAGCCTTGGGACCCTGCACCCACGTGGGAGACCTGGAAGAAGTTCCTGGCTCCTGGCTTTGGATCAGATCAGCTCCGGTCGTTGCGGTCACTTGGGGAGTGAACCCGTGGGCAGAAGATCTTCCTCTCTGCCCCTCCTCCTCTCTGCATATCTGACTTTCCAATAAAAATAAATAAATATTTTTTAAAAAAAAAATACAAAGCACTGCGTGGGTCGGGAAATCAAGTCCGCACTAGCACCACACCCCTGGGCAGCCCAAACGCGGGGTCCCTGCGTCCTGCTGCGGGAGGAGGGGAGCAGTGGACGCCCTGCAGCCAGGCCCACGGGCCCAGCAGAAGGCCTGGCCCTGGGGACACGGGCCCACGCGGGGCGGTCCACTGTGGGCTCCGCAGGCATCCCCCCAGCCCCGCTCGCTGCGCATCAGGGGTCCCACACTTCTCGTCTTTCCCTATTTATTTCCAAAATATTAGAAAACACGGGGCGTGGGGGGGAGGAACGGGGGTGCTAAAAGCAGGTGTCCCCGGGGGCCCGCGAAGCACCCCGGGCGCCTGCGGTCAGCGGCCCCGCCGCGCGTGCGCGTGCGGGAAGAAGGTGTACTTGGCGGGGTCGAACTCGTCCCAGATGCGCTCGAACTCGTCGAGGAAGAGGCGCACGTAGGCGGCGTCCTCCAGGATGAGCACGTTCTCGCGGTTGTTCTGGATGGCCTGCGTGGTCCAGTTGAGCGAGCCCGTGATCAGCACCTTCTTGTCCACGATGGCGAACTTGTGGTGCATGTAGCCCAGGTCCTGGTCGTGGCGCACCTGGATGCCTGCGGCCGGCACACGCACAGCGCACGCGGCGCCTCGCACCGGGCCCGGCCCGCGCCCCGCCGGCCCCCCAGGCCTGTCACCCCGGCTCCCCCGGCTCCCCCGGCTCCCCGCGAGCCCCCCGCGCCTGTCACCCCGGCCCCCCACCCCGGCTCCCCCGACTCCCCCGGCCCCCCGCGAGCCCCCCAGGCCTGCCACCCCGGCTCCCCCGACTCCCCCGACCCCTGCGAGCCCCCCGGGTCTGCCACCCCGGCCCCCCGCGAGCCCCCCAGGCCTGTCACCCCGGCTCCCCCGGCTCCCCCGACCCCTGCGAGCCCCCCGGGCCTGCCACCCCGGCTCCCCGCGAGCCCCCCAGGCCTGTCACCCCGGCTCCCCGCGAGCCCCCCAGGCCTGCCACCCCGGCTCCCCGCGAGCCCCCCGCGCCTGCCTCCCCGGCTCCCCCGGCTCCCCGGCTCCCCGGGCCTGTGTCACCCCGACTCTCCGCGAGCCCCCCGGGTCTGCCACCCCGGCCCCCCCGGCTCCCCCGGCTCCCCCGGGCCGCCACCTACCCGCCTTGCGCAGCAGGCCGATCTGCGAGCCGTTGAGCGCCATGTAGTCGCAGTCGGTGACGACCCGCACGCGCACGCCGCGCTGATGCAGCAGCTGCACGGCGCGCCCGAGCTGCGGGCTCGAGAAGGCGAAGAGGCAGAGCTCGAGGCTGGCGCGGGCGGCGAGCAGGGCGCGCAGCAGGCGGCTCAGCGAGCTCTCGCAGTGCGGCAGGCTGCACTGGCAGCCCGCGGGCCCCGGCGCCGCGCCGGGCGCCTGGAGCAGGGCCTCGGTGCACGTCACCTGCGACGGGAAGAAGAGCACCTCGCGCCGCGCCCGCCGCGCCCGCCCGGCCCGCAGCCAGCGCAGCAGCCAGGGCAGGAGCTCCAGGGCCACCGAGAGGCCCGCGGCCGCCACGGCCGCCGCCCGCCAGCCCAGCCGCCCCATGGCCACGCCGCCGCCCCGGGCCTCCGGGCCTGCGCGCCCCGGGCCGCGTGCTCGGCCACGCCCGCCACGTGCGTAACGGCCACGCAGCCACACCCCGGCGCGCCCCGGCCGCGTGCGTAACGGCCACGTGCGTAAGGGCCGCGTGCGTAACGGCCACGCGCTCCACGGCCACGCGCCCAGACCACGTGCGTAAGGGCCACGCAGCCACACCCCGGCGCTCCCGGACGCGTGCGTAAGGGCCACGCGCGCCCAGACCACGTGCGTAACGGCCACGCGCTCCACGGCCACGCGCCCGCCCCGCCCCGCTGGCCGCGGCCACTCCCCGTGGTGCCCCTGCCCTCCTCCCGGCCCAAAAAAGGACGCTCCTGCCCCGCGCGCCCGCGGGTTTATTCCCCCCGGAGCGTCGGTTCGCCACGCCGAGCCTGCCAGGCCCGCGCACCGCGTGGCCGGGAAGAGAGGGGCGCAGGTTCCAGTCCCGGCTGTTGCAGTTCTGATCCGCGCGGCGCAGGGCGTGCGTGTGCGAGTCCCGGTTGGAACCGACGGCGTCTGGCCCGGGCCTCGTGCAACCAAGGAAGGCCCCGTCTGTGTATATCACCGCTCGCTTTGCGGGGACAGTGGGCGCGGGGTGAACCGCTGACCCGCAACCCGCTGCCGCCGCTGCAAAGCTCCAGCTGCCGGTGTTGTCAATCAAAGCACAGTGGAAATACAAAGAAACGCGGCTTCGGGCTCCTGACGGCCGCGGGCAAGGTAGAACAGGGGAGGGACCAACCACACAGCACGGGGAACTAATCTAAAAAATAAAAAAGAAGGAGCTGGCGCGGTGGCCTCGCGGCTACAGTCCTCTCCTTGAACACCCTGGGATCCTATACGGGCACCGGTTCTAATCCCGGCAGCTCCACTTCCCTTCCAGCTCCCTGCTTGTGGCCTGGGGAAGCAGCTGAGAACAGCCTAAGTCTTAGGACTCTGCACCTGCGTGGGAGACCCGGAAGAAGCTCCTGGCTCCTGGCTCCGAATCGGCATAGCATCGGCCGTTGCGCTCACTTGGGGAGTGAATCATCAGAGGGAAGATCTTCCTCTCTGTCTCTCCTCCTCTCTGTATATCTGACTTTGTAATGAAAATAAAAACAAATCTTTAAAAAAAAAAAAGAAAAGAATAGACACTTTAGGCTTTTAAAGTTAATTTTTTTTAAGATTTTCATTGTTAAGACAAATTTACATAGGGGAGAGACAAAAAGATCTTCTGTCATCTGGTTCACTCCCCAAGCAGCTGTAACAGCCAGAACTGAGCTGATCCAGAGCCAGGAGCCAGGACCCTCTTCCAGGTCTCCCACACGGGTGCAGGGTCCCAAGGCTTTGAGCCGTCCTCTATTGCTTTCCCGGGCCACAGGCAGGGAGCTGGAAGGGAAGTGGATCAGCCGGGATTAGAACTGGTGCCCATATGGGATTCTAGCGCGTTCAAGGTGAGGACTTGAGCCACTAGGCCACGCTGCTGGACCTTTATTCCGTTTTTGATGTTTATATAGGTGATTGGGGTGGGAAAGGTCCAGGATCAGGGGAGATTGGTGAGACCTTTGTTTTCACATTTTCTTTTCCTTCTTCCCATATCTGGGGGAAGGAGACAGATAAGGCAGGAGCCACACCCAGCCTCCCAACCACCCCAGCTCCCGGGGATGGGGAACGCCCTCCTGATGTCAGCCCAGGGTCCCCGATTGGAGCATGCGCCGAGGGTTCTGCTCAGGTGCTTTGGATCTCGCAGATGCAAGGATGAGGAAATCCTGCCAGGGCCCCTGGCTGACACAATCCACCGCTGAGTCTCCGTCTGCCCGGGCATTTGCTCTCATGCTGCCCTGGGGTGGTCGGTCCATTTGTCCCGCCCTCCTTCCTCTGCTGTGACACCTGGTGTCCTCTGCAGGCTCCAGTGTCTGACACCCCCCCATGTGCCTCTGGCTGTGCCGTCCACTGCTCCGTCAAAGCCACTGAGGAGGCCCAGCTCTTTTTTTTTTTTTTTTTCAATTTTATATAGACTGGGATTTCCCCCCAAACTCCCACCCTCCAACAGATCTTCCCCATTTTACTACATCTCACAGGCAGATCTCACTCCTTTTGGGTATATTCCTAGGAGCGGGATAGCTGGGTCATATGGCAGGTTGATTTGCAATTCTCCAAGCACTCTCCATCCTGACTTCCACGGTGGTTGTGCTCCCTGCACTCCCACCAGCAGTGAAGGAGGGCGCCTTTCTCCCCACATCCACGCCAGCAGGTGGTGGTAGTTGAGTTCTGAATGTGGGCCAGTCTCACTGAGTTAGGTGGAACCTCGACGTGGTTTGTATCTGTATCTCTTTGATGGCTGGGGAGCCTGAGCATCTTTATGTCTGTTGGCCATTTGAACCTGTTCTTCTGAGAAATGTCTGTTCATTTCTTTTGCCCGTTTTGTTACAGGGTTATTTTTGTTTGCTTGTTTTTCTTGTGTCTGGGTTTCTGAAGCTCTTTGTAAATCCTGGATGTTAGTCCCCCGTCACTTGTGTAGTGTGCAGAAGTTTTCTCCCATTCTGTTGGTTGCTTCTTCACTTTGTTAATTGTCTCCTTTGCTGTACAGAAGCTTTTTAGTTTGTTGGAGTCCCATCTGTTCATTTTAGCTTTGATTGCCTTTGCTTTGGGTGTCTTTTCTAAGAAGTGTTTCCCTATTTCTGTATCTTGGAATGTGCTTCTTATGTTTTCCTTAAATAGTTTGATGGTTTCTGGGTGTAGATTTAGGTCCTTGATCCATGTAGAGATGGTTTTCGTATAATGTGACAGGTGTGGGTCTTTTTTTTTTTAAGATTTATTTTTATTATTTTTTTATTGGAAAGGCAGATATACAGAGAGGAGAGACAGAGAGGAAGATCTTCCATCCGATGATTCACTCCCCAAGTGAGCGCAACGGCCGATGCCGATCCGAAGCCAGGAGCCTCTTCCGGGTCTCCCACGCGGGTGCAGGGTCCCAAATCTTTGGGCCGTCATCGACTGCTTTCCCGGGCCACAGGCAGGGAGCTGGAAGGGAAGCGGGGCTGCCGGGATTAGAACCGGCACCCACATGGGATCCCGGGCGTGCAAGGCGAGAACCTTAACCACTTGCTCCACCGCGCCGGGCCCGACAGGTGTGGGTCTTGCTTCTTAATTCTGCAAGCTGCTATCCACTTGTCCCAACAGGATTTGTTGAAGAGACCAGGATTTTTACCTGGATTGTTTTCAGTTTTCTTGTCAAAGATTAGGTGAGTATACATGTGTGGGCTCCCTTCTAGTGTTTCTATTCTGTTCCACTGATCTTCTCTGTTTCTGTACCAGTACCGGACTGTTTTGATGACCACTGCTCTGTAGTATGTCTTGAGGTCTGGAAGTGGGATTCCTCCAGTTTGATTTCAATTTTTCGGGATAGTTTTGGCTATTTCTGGCCTCTTGTGTTTCCAGCTGAACTTTTGCATCATCATTTCTATTTCTGAAAAGAATATTGTTGGGATTTTGATTGGGATTGCGTTGAATCTGTATACTGCTTTTGGTAATATGGTCATTTTGATGCTGTTGATGCTGCCAGTCCAGAAACATGGTAAGTCTCTCCATTTTTAAGGTCTTCTGTTTCCTTTTTTAAATGTTTTGTAGTTCTCGTCATAGAGGTCTTCCACATATTTAGTTAGCTTGATTCCTAGGCATTTAAGATTCCTCTCCTCTATTTTAAAGAGGACTGTGCTTAAAATTTCCTTCTCAGCCATGGAATTATTTGCATACACTAGTGCCATCAATTTGTGTTCATTAATTTTGTATCCTGCTACCGTGCCAAAGTCTCTTATGAGTTCCAATTGTCTCTTGACTGAGTTTTTCGGTTCCCCTATGTAGAGGATCATGTTGTCTGCAAATAGAGATAATTTCACTTCCTCTTTTCCAATTTGGATTCCTGTAACTCTTTTTTTTTTTTTTTTCCTAATAGCTAAAGCAAGAACTTCCAATACTATATTAAAGAGTAGTGGTGACAGTGGACATGACTGTCTAGTTCCAGATTTTAGTGGGAAGGCTTCCAATCTTTATTTAGTATGATGCTGGCATTGGTTTCTTCGTAAATTGCTTTGATTGTGTTGTAGAATGTTCCTTCTATGCCTATCTTGTTTAGGGTCTTTAACATGAAGTAGTGTTGGATTTTATCAAATGCCTTCTCTGCACCTATTGAGAGGACCATATAGCTTTTATTTTTCAATTTGTTGATGTGATGTATCACATTTATTGTTTCGTGGATGTTGAACCATCCCTGCATGCCTGGGATGAATCCCACCTGGTCCAGGTGAATGATCTGCCTGATGTGCTGTTGGATTCAGTTGGCTAGTATTTTATTGAGGATGTTTGCGTCTATGTTCATCAAAGATATTGGTCTGTAGTTCTCTTTTTTCTGTTGTTTCTCTATCTGGCTTTGGTATTAAGGTGATATTAGCTTCCTAGAAAGAGCTTGGAAGGATTGTCTCTTTCTATTGTTTGGAAAAGCTTGTGTAGGATGGGGGTAAGTTCCTCTTGAAATGTTTGATTTAGCAGTGAAGCCATCTGGTCCAGGGCTTTTCTTGGTTGGGGGAGGGCTTTAATTACTGATTCAATCTCATTGCATGTTATAGGTCTATTCAGATTGTTAATTGCTTCTTGATTCGATGTTGGTGGGTTGTATGTGTCCAAAACTCCATCCAGCTCTTCTAGGTCTTCTGATTTGTTCGCCTATAGTTACTTACAATGGTTCCTGATGTTTCTTTGTATTTCTGAGGTATCTGTTGTCATATCTCCTTTCTCGTCTCTTATGCTATTGATGTATCTTTTCCCTCCTTTTTTTTTTTTGGTTAGTTAGGCTAGTGGGGAGTCTATTTTGTTGATTTTCTCAAAGAACCAGCTCTTTGATTCATTGATCTTATATACTGTTCTTCTGGTCCCTACTTGGCTTATTTCCTCCCTTATTTTGATTTATTTTTTCCTACTAATCTTGGGATTGCTTT